ACTAATTTTTAATGTGACCAGTTGCATTTAAAACCTTTACACTGGTTTGGGTGTGGTGGTGCACACCTTTAATCCCAGCACTTGGGAGGCAGAGGCAGGTGGATCTCTGAGTTTAAGGCCAGCCTGGTCTACATAGTTCAGGTCAGCTGGAGCTACAGGGAGACCCTGTCTTAAAAAGACAAAACTCAATTCTACACTTTGCTGGGCATTGGTGGTACACACTTTTGACCCCAGAACTCTGGAGAGAGGCAGACAGATCAAGACCAGTCTGATCTGTGCAGCAAGTTCCAGGCCAGCTGGGGCTATGTAGTAAGACCCTGCCCTCCCCCACCAAAAAAACAACCAACTGCCAAAACTCTACACTTTCATACTTCTGCTCTTCCTCATTTTATCATAGATAGCACAAATTATACTTTAATATTGTTATAATTTAACAAATCTATAATCACTTTGTTTTTGTTAAGAGTCTAGCCAATATTTTAAAGCAAGCTATGTCCCTACTTAGTATAGAAGGTTCTATATTTGTCTTCATTGTTAAGGTTACATTTTCGTATGGCTTGTGTGGTTTTTGCTTCGTCTTGAAGGACCTTCATCAGCATTTCTTGCTTGATAAATCTAGTGGCCCAATTATTATTTAACTTATTTTTTTTTCTTTTTTTGCACAGGTAATGTTCTCTCCTGTGGGTGTTGACAGTGCTTGTAGGTTATATTTGAAACATTCAGAAAGCACCTACCTGAATATTGTCACATTTCTTTACATCACGATTTAGTAACTATTAAGTTATGTCTACTAAATACAGTGAACAAAATGGTATGTTTATACCATTCCCTTGTAAATAAGGCTTTTGTGCACAATAGTAACAAATGAAATTAATGTATACCATGATATCAACAAGGGAAAAACCTGTTGTTTAAATAAACTCTTCTGTTCATAAATAAACTTTTTTTTCAGTACACATTTACAGACCTTATCAATAAAAAGAAACTGTATATCTATATCTATCTATCTATCTATCTATCTATCTATCTATATATTTTTTTTTCTCCTTTAAAAAGAAAATGTTAAGATATGGACCATACAGGAAAATTCTTATTTCTTTTTAAAACTAAAACTCGGTGCCAAAGAGAGAGCTCAGCAGCCCTCTTCTGGCTTCCATGGGCATTGCATGATGCAGGTACACTTAAATACAGGCTACACTCATATACGTAAAATAAAAATGATAAAGTATTAAAAAGAACTACAACTTAATTTTTATTTAAAATATTCTGTAAGACAGTTTTGGTTGGCCATTTCTTATATCTGTTGCATAACTGATAACCATATACAAACTCTCTTGTGTAGGTGGTTGGCTTGCTTACTGCTTTCAGGATTCTTTCCTTTGTGACCTTTCTTTCCTCTGATGCTGAGAGTTGAACTCTGCCCCCTGAACTATAGGCAAGTGCTCTGCCACTAAGCTAAACTTGGGGCTCTGTCTGCGACTTCAGTGCTTTGACTATATTGTCTTAGTATAGATTTCTTTAGTTTGGCCTGGTTTTGAACTGTTTGAGCTTCTTGAATTTGAATTCTGTTTCTGTCCTTTCATCTGGAAAGTTCTTCAAGTGGGCTCTTTGCCTATTCTTCCTCTTCCTCCCCCTCTGAAACTTGTGATACCTGTGCTCCTTCATGGATGGTGGCCCACAGGTAGCCATCCTTCAGGCTACTTGCAGCTCTTAGTTTTCTTCATTCTTTTATGTTTAGCTGGTTTGCCTTTGACATTCCTGTCTTCCTGTTTTCTGCTTTTTTCTCTTAGCCTGGCCAAGTCTGCTGTTGAGTCCTAGTGTATTTTCAGTTACTGAATTCTTCAGTTTCAGGAACTTGGCGGAGTCTTCATTTGTTACCTGCTGGTGCTGGTTTTCTTGTCTGTCTGTGCTCATTCCTTCAGTGTCCTCAGTGCCTTCCAAGTGTTGGAATTACAGATGTGAGTCACCCCATTCCTTGGGGGAAATCCGGGCAGATTTACTTTGTAAACTAAATGCTTTTTTGTAGCTCTTCCTCTCTTTGTCTCTTTTGTCTCTTTTGGAACTTTGGCGTTTACAAGCTCAGCCCGGTCCTTTTTGCAGTCTACTTTTATCCTGAGTTTCTCTATCTGATCAGCTCGTCTAGAGAAGCTGGAGACTGCATCCCTTTCCTGAGGATGCCCTCTGGGTTTGTTCATGGCACCTCTTTCTTGAAGGCGTTCATCTGTATCTATATGGGCACTCTCTGGGATCTCTTCTGCCCTCCTTTGTCGGTGCCCACACACTGTAATAAGCTGTGGTACTAGAGCTCCACCTAATGTCTGTTTATGGTACTGCAGACCCAGCAAGCCCCTTCTTGCCAGTGCTTAGATTTAGGAGATACCACCAGTCCCTCTTGGTAGAACATTGCCCACCTTTTCTTTGAAGGCACTTTCCGTTTCATTGCCTCCCAAGGAGAAAAGTTCTGTTTCTTCTGTTATGCTTTGCTGGGTAGGGTGGTGAAGGCCATGGGCTTGGGTGAAGTTTTGTGTTCTCCTGAGGTACGGGACCTCTTAAGTGTTTTCTAAATTTACAAGGGCAAGTGGTTTGCATATGTGGTTTAATCAGTGTTTCTGTGGGAAAAGGAAGTTAGGAGTTTCTTACTCTACCATCTTGTTGACATTACACATATGTGTTCTGATTTTTAAGGCATCATCTTAGCAAGAAAGACAATTCTTTGAACTTCAAGGGGTTTGATAAGCTCAGACCAAAAACCTTTTTCTCCTATAATCCATTTGAGAGCAGGTGGAAAGGGAGGACAAAATGGCAGCTGTTTGCCAGGAGGGTGTGGGAATGTGGTGAGATGTTGGAAATGGTCAATGCAGGCCTTTACCCTTTGCTGTCTTTCTCTGGATGCCTGTTCAGTTCAGAGAAGTCCTTGGAGCCAAATTTGAAATCCAGCTTAGGGAACACAAACCTCTGAGTTAACCTTGAAGATATTTTCTTTGTGTTGGTGTTTGTTTAGAGAAGAAGCCCTGATGGGAAAGCTTTTCTCTGTGTGGCTGTTGCATGTCCCTAACCTTTGTGCTAATAATCATGCACTTTGAATCGAAGTTCTAAGTTATTGCAGAAAGTCACCAAACTTTGATTTTGCAGGTCTGCCATCTTTGAGTGTTTTAGACAATGGTTTTAGTCCTGATCTTTGTCGTAACTGTTCTGAGACCTGGATTAGTTGTGTTTCTCATTGCCGAGACAAATCGCCTGACCAAAACAGCCTGAGGAAGAAGGGCTGAAGGCATGTCCAGCATGGAGGGGGCGTGGCAAGGGAGTGGCTCTAGCTGTGGGACCTGGAGCACATGCCTGCTGGTCACATTGCATCTGTATCCAGGAAGTTCAGAGGACGGTCCCTGGTGCTCTGCTTGTGCCTTGTTTTTGTTCAGTCCAGTAGGGTGGTGTGCCCATAGGCCCCTGGGGTCTTCCCCTTCTCAGTTAAACTCCTCTACAGACATCTCCAGAGATAGCCTGAAAGTTTTATCTTCCAGGTGATTCTAAATCTCATCAAGTTGATAAGATTACCATCACAGGGCTCATTTTAAAAATAGTTCTTGGGGCTGGAGAGATGGCTCAGCAGTTAAGAACACTGGTTATTCTTGCAGAAGACCTGAGTTCGAATTCCAGCACCCACATGGCAGCTAACAACTGTCCGTAACTCCAGTTCCAGGGGATCCGACAGCTTCTTCTGTCCTCCATGGGCATTGCACGACACAGGTGTGCCTGCTTACCTGCATGCAGGCAATACACTCATTCACATAAAATACAAATAATAAATAAAATATTAAAACTACATTTACTTTTATAAATTATAATAGCAAGGAACATTATTAGAAATTTGGGAACTGGCATTTTAAAATGTAGTTTATGCTTTCGGCCTGCTAGTCCGTCATCACGTTTTTGGCAGAAACAGAAGATGGAAACCTTATGGAGTAATTATTTTCTTTTGTCCAAAGCTGTTTTCATTTGATTCAGCAGTGTTAGTGGGTAAGCGCATAAGTGAGAGAATATGATGATGTAGCACAAAATTGGTAAAATTAGTTTGTGAATCAGTATTAAATCTCTTTAATATTATATAAAATTCATGCCCTTGGGGAATTATAGTTAATATTTGAATTTCCTTAAGGTTTGTTACAGGTCTTATTTTGGTTTAGATTATTCAAGTTAATGTATTTTGATTTTCATGCATATGTAATGACATTTTAAAAGAATAACTTTTAGAGATGGTCTTACGTTTATGTCACGAACTGAAACCAGGCCATTTTAATTCCGTCTTTTTAATGAGATGTTGGATTGGCCAGTATTGGGGAATGCGGAAGGAAATCTTTGCTGCTGTAGGTAGGTGGGAAGTCTGTAGACTGGGACGTTTGACTTGGTTCTCAGGTGCTGTAGGGATAGTTAGGATTAGTACTGCCAGCTTCTACATTCAGCCGGCAGAGCAACTGGAATCATTAGGTGCTTCAGTATTGGGGCACCAAAGATGACCTCAGGGGACCTCCTAAGATGTGGAACTTAAGAATTTTGTAGCTATGCTATTTTTAGCTGTGTTGTATTTATTAACTATATGGGTTAGTGCTTTGTGTAGTTTAATTTTGTACACCCTTTTATTTTAGGTTTTAATAGCATAGTGGCAGGGAACCTATACCCAGAACCCTTTGGCACCCAGAGGCCACCCCGATTTTGTCACTGTAATTTTATAACTTCTTCCTTGGGAAGTTTTGGGGAACACAAAAATTCACTTGCCATCTTAGAGAATTCTGAAATGTTTGTTTTGTGGTTTGAATAGATGGGGGCTGCTCGAGTGATGCTGATAAATGTAAAACAACCAGGCTGCCAGTAAACAGTCAGTGACCCTCAGAACCTAAACATTAGCAAGTCTGAAAGGCGGGTCTCCTGTCCATATACACTTTAGTCTCCCCCTTGGTAGGTGTTTAAATTTGATTTTTGGTTAATTTTAGACTCTTTTTGATCAGAACAATGCTGCAAAAAAAGAAGAGTCAGAAACGGCGAACAGGAGTGACGCTTCAAAGAAGCTGTCTGTCGAGAGAGTGTACCAGAAGAAGACACAGCTGGAGCACATTCTTCTTCGTCCTGACACATACATTGGATCAGTGGAGCCACTGACACAGGCGAGTGCTTGTGAAGACTGATTGAAATTAGGGAATGTGTCATCTACCTCTAATTTTTAAATATTTTGCTGAAATTTGTGGCTGTATGGTTGGTAAGTCCATAATTTCATGTCTCTATGATCATGCTGAAGTTGGGAGAGAGGAGCTGGGGATGCGGTTCAGTGAGAGAGTAGTGGCCCAGTTTGCACAGGCCCCAGGATTGTCTCTTACATATTCCAAAAGGAAAAAATGAAACAGAGCAAATCCAGGAGTGATCTGGGAGAGACAGAAGTGTGTGTATGACTCTGGAGATGAGCCCATGAGAAGGAAAAGTACAGTGAGATGCTGCCATGGACTGTTGACAGCTCCTCAGAGCACCTGGGCTTTGCTTTGTGTGCTGTGCCTTCTGGAGCACATACATTGGCTGTTTTCAGTGCTTCTGTGGATTGGTTTATGTCTGTGGTGTTCGTTCTAGTCTCAGGAAGCCTGGAGTCAGGCTCTGTTCATGCTGCTTGCTCTGTGCTGCCTATTCCATAGGAAACTGTAAATTGTCGTTTTCACAGTTCTTCATAATTTTATATTTACTGTTTCTAGTGCTTCTTGGAGCCTCGTAGAAGACAGAGAAATGTACAGGCCTTGGGAATTTGATTTGGGTTCTCATCCTCTGTAGGAATGGTTAAAATTAGGGTTACCAACCTCTGCTTCCTGAGATTGGAGAGAAGCTGGAATCGTGGGTGGTTTTTTTTTTGGTGTTGGGGATTTAACCCAGGGCCTTATGATGGCTAAGCACACACTTTACTTCTGAGCTTTAACCCCAGCCCATATGCCTTCCTTTAAGCTGGCATTATGTATGAATAATAAATCAGACGATATAAAATGAGCAACTTTTCAATTCTGAGGACAAGGTCCGTATGACTACTGAACCTGACTCTAACTGAAGTTGTGCATGCTCCACTCTGAATGTCTGCTTAAAGGGAGTAAATGATTATGGATTTTTGTTGTTTGTTTTTCTTTGTGACGGGGTCTCACTCTGTAGATACCGCTGTGACTTAAACTGTGGCAGTACTTAATTGTTGAGATTGCAGATGTGAACCACTATGCCTGGTAACAATGTGGATTTACGCTGTGTAGGATTGGTGTTAAGGGTTATGGAATAAAATGGTGTTTTAAAATCATTTTCTTAATGCAGTCAATGTGGGTGTATGATGAAGATGTAGGGATGAACTGCAGAGAAGTCACCTTTGTTCCAGGGTTGTACAAGATCTTTGATGAAATTCTGGGTGAGTACTTGCTTAGCATGCAATGAATTCATTTCTTTCTGTTATCAGTATAATGTCCCTGTACATACCAAGCCAGACTTACAGTGTACACTTTAAAGGTATGTGGTTGGTTTTTATGCTGAATGTGTATTCATCAGAAAGTTGATACCCACCAGTAATATTTTTATATTTCTGTACTTTATACCTTCGTGTTTGTGTTTATGTGTAAAGTGAGTGCATTGCATTTGTAATCTTGTAGACAGCCTGTACTCTGTGCTATCTGAGTTTTATTAGTATCATAGTTAATTTGGGATACATGTTACATATGGAGACTACGAGGCCTGATCTTTGCAGATTCTATGACTTGGAGGTAGGGCATGTAATATTTAGATTTTTTTTTCACCCATTGATGACGTATTTTGTTGGGCAGCTAAGTTTACTAACCTGTCCCCTTCCAAATCCTGTGATTAATAAGGTTACGATGACATGGACTTATTACCTCCCAGTCAGTGTTCATACTTTGGAAATGCTTTTACCCTTAGACTGTCTAGAAATTCTGTTCTGCCACATCATTAATCTACAGCTTGGGGTTTCTTAGACTGGGATTGTGTGGGTCTCTGACTTCTTGAGTCCTCAGGAAGGGAGGGGAGAGCAACCCTGATTATGCTTTGCATTCCTACACTGGCCTCCCAACTCGATTCTGCTATTGTAGGCTTATCACATGGTTTTTATCTGGAAATGGAACTCTGATTGAAGTTCAACTTAATGGCCAGCTGTGTCCCTGTTATCTTGAGATACTAATTAAAGAAAGTAAAAATATTTTTATAACTGTATTTTTAGGATTTAGAAATTTGAATCTTAAGGGCAGACATTAAAGACTTAATAAAAATAGCTGGGGCTGGAGAGATGGCTCAGCAGTTAAGAGCACTGGTTGTTCTTGCAGAGGACCCGGGTTTGAATCCTAGCACCCACATGGCAGCTAGCAGCTGTCTCTAACTCCAGTCCCAGGGGATCCGATGGCCTCTTCTGACCTCTGCAGGCATTGCATGACATGAGTGCACTTAACCTTCATGCGGGGACTACACACATACACATAAAATAAAAATTATAAATTGAAAAAAAACTAGCTTAATTTGCTTGTAAAATCTCTGGTTTATTGACGGAGATTAAGAGAAGGCAACTATATGTTACCAAGATAAAAAGTAAACCTAATTTTTTTACTTTTAGGTTTGGGTTGGGGTTTAGGTTTAGATGGTTTTGCCCTTGCCTACTTTACTTTTATATGTAAGCCCCCCCCCCCCCGCCCCCACACGCGTCCCGCATGTGTCTCTAACGTAAAAGCAGTTTGGAATTACTAAGTGAAACTTAGTTTTATTTAAAAAGTAAGAAGTTTGTGCTTGAAACTCAGTGACTATAGACGTTAGCATTAAGTACATGCATGTGTAGCTGTGGCTGCCTGTTCCTGTGCTGTGTGCTTTGTCACTCACTGAGATGTTTGCTTTTGTAGTTAATGCTGCAGACAATAAGCAGAGGGACAAGAACATGACCTGCATTAAGGTTTCTATTGATCCGTAAGTACACTTCAAGTTTATTCTTAGCCTAAGTTGCTGTCTTCAGTAATCCTCAACATGTGAGTGCTTCTCTTCCCTTGGAATATGTGGCTGCTCCATTTCTGTCCCCTCTTCCCTTGGACATTGTTGTTTTCTCTGTCCTGTGAGCCGTTTCCACACAGCATGTCTCCTTGGCTGTTCTTTGATGCTGTGGATTGCTCCCTCCTTCCCCCTTGTCCTCTCTTCAGGACTCAGGCTAGGATTGTAGTGCTGTTCTTGGGGGTATTAGGAGTCAAAGTGATTTTTCATGACTGGAATTTGGGGTTTTCCATCATATATGGCTCAGGTTAATAAACAAATACTCCTGGCATTATGGAATGTCTACTGGGTGCTTAGCTAATTAGATTTCACTACGGTGATTTTTTTTTTTTTTTAGGGTGGAGTTGGAGGAGGGTTGAGAGCTTATAGAAAAACAGTAGTTTACACTAGAAACAGGATTCTTTTGTCCTTTATTTTCATGCCTTCTGTAAAATCGTTACACTTTTAAATTTCAATAAGACTTTAGCATAACTAAATTTTTTCTCTAATAAGCATGGAAGTTTTAGCAATGTGGTCTTAACTGTCAGCAGCTTAATTTTAGATGGTATGGCTAAGATTAGTGGTGTAGTAAGACTGTAAAATAAAAAGTTGCAACATGAAATTAACTGCCTATTATATAAGAATGTTAGCATATAAGTAAGCTATTATAGTTTGTTTTTTTTCTCTTGTTATCTTTTTCATTTAGATCATTTCTATAATGAACACATTCTTGAAAATTGATATCGTTAGGTGTTCTGGATACTTATAAGTTAAAAGCTATACCGAAGTTTGGTTTTCCTTGTTAAGGTGATTGTCATTTAAATGCAGTGCCTGCAGGATATGTTTTGTCTGGGGAGAGCTAGTAAGGAGTGATAGTGAATGCTGATACCTTAACCTTGCTCAGCATTCAGAACTGAAGGGATTGTGGTAGAAAAGTAAAGGGGGCTTTCCATGTATATATGGAGGCCACATGCCTGACTTAAGTACATTTTTGTTTGTTTTGAGACAGGGTCTCCCTGTAGCCCCAGCTGGCCTGGAACTTCCTATGTAGACCAGGCTGGCCTTGAACTCACAGAGATCTGCCTGTCTCTGACTCCCAAGTGCTGGGATTAAAGGTGTGGGTCCCCCGCCTGGCCTGTAAGTAGGTTTTTGATGGATGAAGTCATCCTCTCTAGTTCTCACGTAGTCATTATTCCAGCTGCACGAGACCCAACAGCACTGAGTTTACAAGTGGCTCATGGGATCTTGTGTAGGACAGCTGTGTGGAAGGTGCTCGGTGCGTCATTGTCAGCCATACGCTCTGCGTGCAGCAGTTCTCTTGTGTAACACTTCATTAATTTCTTTCTGATTAGGCCACAAAATCATGTTTTTTTATGACATTTTCATACATGTATCATTTAACTTGCTCGTATTTGGTTCCTTACATCTATCCTCCTGCTTTCATGGCAAGTGCATGTACATGTGTGTGTACATGTGTGTACATGTATGTACGTGTGTATGTATATGTGTACGCATGTGCATTGTTTCAGTCTAGGTTCTGCATCTGAGAGAAGACACGCAGTATCTGTCTTTCTTCCTCCATTGCTGGTACTTTTATCACTTTCTTTTTAACTCCCTTATAGTCGACAAACATTTTTGTGTGGGCATGAGTAAGAATTCTACCTGAATTTATTTGGTTCTTGATGGTACTCAGATACCAAGTTTTTATTATCTCTTTCTAACTGCCTGTGCTAGAAAATTCTCTCACTTGATTATGAAACAAAAACTCCAAGAAAGAGAGTCAGGGTGGTGTAGCACTCACTGTTTTCAGGGCTTTGTTTCATCGCTGTTTATAAATCATTGTTGAGAAGTTACTGAGACTCTTCCTTGTCCTGGATTTTTGCACATATTTAAAATTGGTAACAAGCAAACATTTTTTGAGAAGTTGCAGGTCTGTATATTTATTTTGTGTTTTAACACAGTCATTGTTTCACTTTATAGATACGCTACAGAGTTAATGGTTCTGTTAAGATGAGTCTTATCTCACAGTCATAGTTTTGTTTAGCTTAGGTTTCTAATCTGAGAAGTCACTTTAAAACAGAATTCAGAGGTGGATATCATACTGTTTATCCAATTGCCCGTGGTTCTCTGCTGCCTGTCTTTGAGTCTCACCTCTCATTTCCACTTCAGCATCTTTATGGGGGTTTTAATTTTCCTTTTTGCATGTGACAAGGGCAGGGTCTGTTTTAATCATTATACTGATGAAGTAAAGGCCACGATTGTAAAGGCATAGAGACAGATCAGCAGGGCCTTCCAGGAGCCATGTGGACAGCCTTCTAGACGTAGGGAAGCTTAAAGCAGCTTAGGGGGTTAAAGCTTGTTCCTTACTGTTACACAATGGGTGGTCAGTGTTAAAGTAACTCATTTGCTGACATCCGTCTGATTAAAAACCAAATAAACAGGATGAGGAGTGTAGCTCAGTGGTGGTATGAGCTAGACTGTGGAAAGTCCTGGCTCACGTCCACTCCTAAACCAAACACGGGGAAAGCACATTGACCAGAGTTGACTCTTCCCTGGCCTGACTGTTCTTGCTGTATTTAAAGTTGAATGCCTAAACTTACAACTTTCAAATAATGATACACACATGCTGAATATATCTACATATACTTATTAAACAAATGGGGTGGCAATACTTAATTTTATCTATTTTTACTTGATATATTTTGAATGTCTTATTAACTTGATCCATCCTTGTTTATATATGCAACTTACTACTAAGCGCACAGAACTTAATTCTTCTTAGTTATTGCCAAGTATTTTATGTTTATGGTTTATTTAACCTTTTTCCAGTTGACGGACAATGGAAGTTTAGATTGTTTTCAGTGTTCTTTTTTAGCTTTGTTTTTGAAACTTTTCTGTAACTTATTTAAACTGTTGTTTTTAATAAAGAGGTGACCGTAATGGAAAGTGTAGTTTTGTACTCATATAGACCACAGCGCACGTGTGGCAGTCAGAGGACAACTTTGGGAGTCAGTTCTCTCTTTCACCATGTAGGTCCTAGGGATTAAACTCAGGTGCCAGGCTTGGCAGCAAGTGTCGTGTACTGAGCCAAGCTCAAAAGCCTTCCTTCACAATTTTTTCGTTAGTTTTACATTCCATAGTTTCTTACATAAAATACGTCTTAATAAGTTGTAGGTTTGAAACTCAAGCTAGCACTCTTTGGAATTCTAAATGAAGCAGTAGTGCAGTACATGGCCTTTGTTTCTAAGGGCCACCATAGTTTACCTTTAGAGTTAGTACACACAGGCGGAAGGCCATCGGACAGTGTGGAAGGGGTCTGTCCTTTAGTGTTCAGTTCTGTTTTCAGGAAGATTGTTATCTGCAAATGAGAAACAATTATCTTCATGAAGTCCCTAGTAAATAATTTAGGGTTTTTTCCTAATAACAAGGAGAAAAACATTGTTAAAGACTTACTGAAGCGGTGAAGTCATAAATTGACCTTCAAGTTTGGGTAAAATCTGGTTAGACAAAGGAAACTGGAAAAAGACATTGTATACGAGGGAAAGACATGACAAAGAAATCGAATAATTGGAAATGGACGTGGGCGAGTGACAGCTGAACTGAAGGGAAATGGGATGGATGGAGCTGACCAGACATAGCCTAGCAGACCTCTGAGTAACAGACGACTTGAGTTTGATTTGTTGTAACTGGACCTTTTGTGTTCTAAAGGGAAAAAGCTCTGGTGAAAGATGTGTGAAGCCCATCACAGATGCACAGAGCTACCACTGCACTAATTGTTGTGCAGGGGATACTGGTTCTATGTAGACACAGACTGGTACTTAGAATAAACCAAGGGTTATTACTGGTATGAAAGCAGATCTAATAAGACAGATCAATAAGAGCTGATGACTCAATTCTAGAGAATGATCAGGAGAAATGAGTAAAAAACTGGCATCCAAATTTCACCCTCGCAGACAGGGAGACAGGAAACACTGTTGGGGAGTGAGAGGAAGGACAGTTAGTTGCTGATGGGGAAGGAAGAATACGTTAAAAGTTTCAATTTAATTCCTTTTTAAAAACTTTTTATTAATTACACAGAGCTTTGATTTTCATAAAATTTTTTATTATACTTTCTGTGTATGTATGTATATGGGCATATACATGCCAGGGTGCACATATGTTGGTTTGAGGACAACGTGATGGGATCCATTGTCAGTTCTCTCCTTCCATGTGGGTCCTGGTGATCCAACTCAGGCCATCAGCCTTGACGACAAACTTCTTTATTGCTGAGCCATCTAACTGGCCCTTGTGAGAAATTAAGACATGTCGGAATCGAACATTGTGTGTAAGAACAATTGGGAATCAGATTGGTAAATGACAGTTGTTTAAGCCAGTTCTTGGTATTCACTATGAAGCTGCGTCTCTGAAAATTTAATGGTGATAGGTGAAATTTTTTCACCTAGGCTACTGCCCATGCCAAGGGCCTGTTATTTATAGGATCCTCTGCCTAATTTATTCATGATTGAAACTGATGGTTTTATGATCGACTAAAAGATCTAAAATAGGGAGTATCTGTATATTTCAAAACCATTAAAGGTAATTTATGACACTGATTGGCACGATGCATGTCTAACATGTAAGTTGCTAGTGGAACCACTTTAGGCTACGTGTCTTTCCTGTGTGTGTCCAACGTAGGTAAGAAATGAAGTGGAAATGGCCCCTTGCTTTGAAGAGTTGTGTTCTGCTGGAATTGAGCAGGAGGCTCTGACTCCTTGGGAAAGCGTTCCTCCTCTTACACTTTCCTTGGAGATGGTCAGAGCTGCTTCTAAGAAAGCTTACCGCACTGCTTTGCGGATCCTGGCCATCTTAACGTGAGACTGGGGTGTGCGTCCTCATCAAGATGGTCAGTGTCTTCTAGTCGACATGGCTGTGTCTGGCTTGTAACATTCAGGATTATCTTGCATTCATTACTTTTTATGGAAATTAATATTTAAGTTCTAAACTCTGCTTTTATGTGTTTACAGTGAATCTAACATCATCAGCATTTGGAATAATGGGAAAGGCATTCCAGTAGTGGAGCACAGGGTAGAGAAAGTTTATGTTCCCGCTCTGATCTTTGGACAGCTTTTAACATCCAGTAACTATGATGATGATGAGAAAAAAGTTACAGGTAAAGTCTAATTGCAAAGTATTGTTTTCTTAACATTTCTGAGTTCATATTTTTTTTACACAAGCTCTTACAAGTAAGGAGACCTTTCATTATGGAAATATCCTTTTCAGAGTTAATACTCTAAAAAACTGTCATCTGTTTTGTATAATCTAATGGTGTTGTTTTAAAATATTTCATATTTATGAGTGTATTGCCTTCATGTATGTAAGTGCACCCATATCATGCAGTGCCTGCGGAGGTCAGAAGAAGGCATTGGATCCTCTGGACCTGGAGTTAGGATGGTTGTGAGCTACCATGTGGGTAATGGAACTGAACCTAAATCCTGTACAAGGGCAGCCAGTGCTGTTAGCCACTGAACCATCTCTCCAGCCCCTAACAGTATTGTTTTTTAAAAGGCTGATAATGCACTGACTTTTAGATTAGAATTGCTGGAATTCTCGTCTGACAGTTTGAGTTTTGAGCTAGATAACAACTCTATGGTACCTGTGTGTTTGTTATCACATCTACACATCTTTTGATATTAAAATACTTTTAGACAACTTTCCTTAAGTGGTCAAGAATAAAAATCTAGACTTTGTAAATAAAATTCTGTAGAAAAGTTACTGTCGCCCAAGTAGGTTGATAACTTCTTTTAAAATCAAGGCTTTGAGAACTTTATATAGGTGAAGTAACTTTGTTAGAAAGTTCAGATTTCATATTCACACAGGCGTATTGTGTCATAAGATACCAAGCTAATTTCTCTTAAATGTTGAAAGTAATGTATCTACAAAATACTTGCTTTAATTATTCTGTACTATACACTGTGTACCACACTATTTTATTACTAAAACTTAATATTTCTTTAAATAAATTAAAAAAACACTACTGAATATAATCAGGAATATCCAGTCAATAATTGCTAGCATCTTACCAGCTTTGCTCTGTGGTATGTAAGTTAACAAACTTCCCTTAAAATCATTCAAACCAAATCTCTCACGTCTATTTTACAGGTGGCCGCAACGGTTATGGTGCAAAACTTTGTAATATTTTTAGTACAAAGTTTACAGTAGAAACAGCTTGTAAGGAGTACAAACATAGCTTTAAGCAGGTATGAAAGAAACATGACCATTGTTTTTTCCATTTCTTAAAAAGTAATGTTTTATTGTTAGCTTAGACAATAGAATTTGAAATATAACTTTTTCTTAAGTGTTAAGCAAGTCACCGGAGAGATGTCAGAATGACTAGAGAATTCATACAGCCTTGTTATCACTCTCATAGCAGGACCCTTTTGTCATAAACATGTCTTAACTACAGCCTCTTAGCATGCTTGAAAAGTTCTTTATTGAGTCATCAAATTCATATTTGAGAAATATTGGCAGAATTTGAAAAAGTAGTTTGAATTTTGTATAAGCTAAAATCATTGTATAGGAATGTAGCGTGCCTGCTTACTTTTGTACAGGTCCGTGTGGCCATATTGAGTGTGGAAGATGTTTATTGCCAGTTTGTTAAGAGTTATGGAGTTTATTTTCAACACCAACTTGGTATAATTATAATACTTACAGTTTTTAATCTTAACCACTTTTAAGGATTTGATTTGTTTGTTTGTTGTGCGGTTGGAAAATATAAATATTGTGGTAAATGAATATATTTGGTGAACTGAATTTTTCCAGGCCAGGTGGGACCACAGGGAAAAAAAAAAGATAAATAGGACGCATTAAATACTTGAATGTTTTTTTTTAAAGACATGGATGAATAATATGATGAAGACTTCTGAAGCCAAAATCAAGCATTTTGATGGTGAAGATTACACATGCATAACATTCCAACCAGACCTGTCCAAGTTTAAGATGGAGAAACTTGACAAGGACATCGTAGCCCTCATGACCAGAAGAGCATATGACTTGGCTGGTTCCTGTAAAGGTGTCAAAGTCATGTTCAATGGGAAAAAGCTGCCTGTAAGTGTTCTTGTAGTACAGTGTTACTGCGACATAGACTGTAGATAGCTGGATCTTGCCTTTGTTTTCTTTTTTTGGTCTTTTTGAGACAGGGTCTCCCTGTAGCCCCAGCTGTCCTGGAACTCACTATGTAGATCAAGCTGGCCTTCAACTCACAGAGATCCGCCTGCCTCTGCCTCCGGAGTGCTGGGACTAAAGGCGTGTGCCAGCACACCAGCACACCCGGCCTGGATCTTGCCTTTTAAAATCTAATCTGATAATCTTATTTAACTGGCATGTTTAAGTGATCAGTATTTAAAAGTGAATTGATTGATTTGGACTGTAATCTCTCATTTTGCTAATTTTTGTCCTTAAATATGGCCTTTGCTTTTTGGTCCTCTTATCCTGTCATCTCTGTTCGTTCTCTCTCTCTCTCTCTCTCTCTCTCTCTCTCTCTCTCTCATATGTTTTAACTTTTAAAAAATTTACTGAGAATTTCATATATGCATAATAAGGTGTTTTGATCACATCCACGCCCACTCCCTCCTCCCCCAACTCTTCCCATATCCCCCAATCACTTTTTCCCGAACAACTTGTGTACTTTTTTTTTTTAATGGAGCTTTTTGCTACTCTTTCTGTGTGTGTCTTAAAATTTACTTTCATTGTATGTGTATGAGTATTTGCTTACATGTATGTATACCACATGTGTGCTTGGTGCCCAAGAAGGCCAGAGAGGCATCAGCACCCTTGGAGCTGGAGTCCTGGACAGTTGTGAGCTGTCATGCAGGGTGCTGGGAACAGAGCCCGGGTCCTCTGCAAGGTCAGGGAGTGTTCTTCACCCCAGAGCCATCTCCCCACCCTCTTCTCTGGTTTTAATGATTATTAAAAATAATATTCTCTTCCCTTCTCTACTTCGTATTTACCCTTTGAAGACTCTTCTTAGTAGTCTGTAGGGTTAGTGCTAGATGCTTTTCTCTAAATGGCCCACCTTTATTTCACATGCAGTGAAGGACTGTGGGCATATGACCTCAGGTACTTGCTTCCATTCCTCAGGTCTTTGTTACCAATGTTTCATTTTGTGTGTGTTTGTGCCACACGTGGAGGTCAGAAGACAATCTTGGGGGTTGGTTCTTGCCTTCCACCTTGTTTGAGACAAGGTCTTTTGTTGTTACCTTCTGCATTGTGTTGTGTTTGCCTGACTAGCCTGTGAGCCTCTGGGGGCTCCCTTGTCTCTACCACCACCTTGTTTTAGGAGCACTGGAATTACAGATGCGTACTATTATGCCTCACTTTACCTGGGAACTAGGGATTTGAATTCAGGTCCTTGTGCTTGCATTGCAAGTTCTTTATCTCCTGAACCATCTCCTAAGCCCCAGGCATTTCACTTTTACATAGTTTGTAAGCACCAGATGGAGAAGAGAATGTTTCCCCTGAGACATTCACTCACATATGTAAATGTACACACTTCTTTGGTCATTTGCTTGTTTTGGTGATACCAGCTTGCTGCGTTCCCCAGGTTCCCCAGGTTGGCTGTGGCTCCTGGAATCGAGCAGCCCTGCCTCAGCCTCCTGCAGACATGTACCATTTTGCTCGGTTTTGATTTCTGATCTTAATCTAGATCATTTGAATGAAGATTTTTTTCTTTGGCCTTTTTTTGTAGAACAGCTGGCAATGAGATCTGTTTTTGTTTGGGAAAGTCCTTATTTTTTTCTTGTCTTCCAAAGAATATTTTCAACAGACACAGAATTACTGATTAGCAGTGGTTTTCATTTAGCATTTAAAGATACTATTCAAGGCCAGGTGTGGTGGCATACACCTTTAACCCCAGCACTCCGGAGGCAGAGGCAGGCGGGTCTCTGTAAGATCCATGCCAGCCTGGTCTACATAGTGAGTTCCAGGCCAGCTGGGGCTACAGGGTGACCCTGTCTCAAAAAACAAAAACGAAACAACCCAAAAATTCATGTAGAAACCTAGCACTATAGAATATTCTTAAAGTATATAAATGTAAATGCTGGCTTGCTTGCCTGGCCTGTGCTCAGCCTGTTTGTTTATACAACCCAGCATCACCTGCCTGTAGTGGCACCACCCAGAGTGGTCTAGGCCATCCCCATCACTCAACAATCAAAACAGACAAAATACCATCAATTATCTTCTTGCTGCATGGTTTATGATTCGAAGTCTGTTGTGAGGTACCTGTGCTCCTCTCTGGTAAGGTTTAGATGTTTCTTTTCCTTCTGGCTGCCTTGAGGAATTTACTATTTAATGTGAGGTTCCTGTGTGTGTGGTGCTTTTTGTTTGTGCTTTCATGTATCCTGCTGGATGTTCTTTGGGCTAGATCTGTTGTTTGGTTTCTGTCACGAGTTTTGAAAGGTTTTAGGCATGCTTTCTTTAGCTTTCTTCTGATGTGCTCTTTCCCTTCCCTCTGGTATGTACCTGTTTTACCTTTTGGTTTATTCCTAGTCTTTGATGCTTGGCCTGTTTTATTCAGTCTATTTTATTTTTGTTTCAGTTAGTTTCTGTTGCCTTAACTCCACCTACATTATTTTTTTCTTTTACTACAGAAAGTCTACTGTCCATGAGCCCTGTCTATGACATCTTTGTGTCTTGTGTTTGTTTTATTCTTAGCATTTCCACTTCATTGTTCCTTACTTGAAATCCATCCTCCACTGAAGCAGCATGCTGTCTTTTTCCACTAGAGACTGGAACATATCAATCATAGTTATTTTAAATGCCCAGTTAACATCTGTGATATATAGGAGCTGGTGCCGATGGCTGCCTTCAGTTTTTATAAAATTCTTTTCGGTATGCCTAAAAGTTTCTGTAGAAAGTGAGATGTGTTACACACAACAGTAGATAATGAGGTGGGTAGGGTTTGTGATTGGACTTAGTTTGGTTTACCTAGATGTTGGATGAGTTTGAAGTTCTTTTCTTCCTGTTCTTCCTGTTCACAACTGTCTTTCCTGTCAGTTGACTTGGGTGTTTCTTTGAACTGCTTGGCAGGATGGCCTGTGTGTTGCAGCTCTGTGGACTGAAGTTCATTGTTGTGACTAGAGGCCTATATCAGCCTAGGGGCAAACTGTGGGAACGGTCTCTAAAAGCTGATTAAATCCTGTCTTTGGTTCCCACAGGCTGGCTTCACCAGGGAGCCTTCTGCTCTTCCCCAGCTGCAGCAGCTCTCCACCTGCGTCCTCCGTCTTTCTTGAGGCTCACTGCCCTGCAGATTACGCTTCCCTCCTTTTATTTTTAAATAAATAAAATCTGAGTGGATTTCCCACTGGCTGCTGCCCTCTCAGCCCGCCCTAGCCAGCACTTTGGTGGTGGGTGGGGAGGAGATGTCTTCTCTTGAACCTTTCTGATTTTTCCTGTGAGGATTTGGTAGAGTTCCTGGAGGGGAATCTTGCTGGGGTAGGAACCTCCTAACTACAGCTCCTGGGAGCTTCCCCCACACACTTTCCTGTATGGGTTAGTTAAAACTTCTAGCTAAGGTTGTTAGTAGGTCATTAAACTTCTGTTGTAGGTAAGCAAATACCGAAGTCTCCGGTTTTCTGTAGACATATGTCTTTCTCTTGACTTCAGGATGGCTAGCTATTTTGAGATCTCAGTTCTTTGCTGGATTCGTGAAAAATTGTTAATTTGTTTGATGGGCTATTTTCCTGTAAGAACAGGAATGTCATGTCCTGTCCTTTCACCTTCCGGGTGTCTGAATGCACACTGGAAGGTAACAGCCATTTTAAAAAGATTAGTTTTGAAAGATTTTTTATAACGATTTACCTGTCCAGCTGTCTTTTCTCATCTTTATCAAGTACACATAAACATGATTTCTCTTTTAAAGAGCAGGGGTCAAGAAGGAGAATAGGGAACATACATGATGGCTTGCATCCTGGTAAGAGCTGCTGTGAGCGTCAGTGTGAGTGCCTACAACATGCACAGTTCTGCTCCTCACCTGAGTGATCACTGTTCACCATCCATAGGTAAATGGATTTCGAAGTTACGTAGACCTGTATGTGAAAGACAAATTGGATGAAACTGGGGTAGCCCTGAAAGTTATTCATGAACTTGCAAATGAGAGATGGGATGTTTGTCTCACTTTGAGTGAGAAAGGATTCCAGCAGATCAGCTTCGTGAATAGCATTGCAACCACAAAAGTAAGTGTCCATGTTCTTTGTGTCCAGGTCATTGGTTAAAAAAAACAAAAATGTCTGTTTAGTTGTATCAAAACTGACTTCTAAAAAGTTGTTTTTTGTGAAATAGCTGTATTAAAATTTATTTTTACGTCTATTGAGAAGGTAATGCACTTAGTGTTTATTGTTGAACATACTTTCATGAAGTTTAGAGTGACTAAAATTCCTTATTTGAGTAGAGAATAAAAAATGAGGTTTTTTGGGGGTGGGGTGTTAGGTTGTGGAATTTGTTTGCCCTTCTAAGGAGCTTGCACACTCTTTTGTAGGCTTTGAACTTCAAAGTCAAACAAAATTCTTACTGAGGTGTAGCTTAGTGGTAGAGGGCTTATCTAGCATGTGTGAGCTCTGGGTTAGTCCACAGCTCTGAAAAAAATGAATGACTGAATAAATAAGTGAAAAAAAAAGAACCCAAAGCATCCACTGACTAATAAAATATTGAGTGATATAGGCACGTACCCTGGAATAGTTTAAAGTAATTCATGGGGCTGGAGAGACGGCTCAGATATTAAGAACACTGGTTGTTCTCGCAGAAGACCCGGCTTCGATCTCAGCACCCACATGGCAGCTAACAACTGTCTGTAACTCCAGTCCCAGGGGATCCGACAGCCTCTTCTGACCTCCGCTGGCATTGCACGACATGGGTCCACTTACCTACATGTAGGCAATACACGCATACACATAAAATAAAAAATAAATAAAATTAAAAAAAATGATTCATGACTCTTGTTCAAGTTTCGTCTTTTTAATGTGTGAACTTTTTAATAATAATAGCATTACTTTTTTTCATCAATAGAAATGTCAGTTATGATTCCATTTTGTTCTATATAATAGAAACCTACATTTTATTTAAAGGTTTTATTTATCCTCATTACTAGGGGTGGTGGTGGGAGAGGGATAGGCAGTTTGATTCTGCTGCTGGGGTTCCTGTTACCAGTAAGGGTTGCTGTTTTTTCTGACTGACTTTTTTAGGAAATGTGGTTTCATTTTACTACCCTCAAGATAACTACTGTACCCCTGTACCTCACTCTCAAATTCTAGAGAAAAGAAAACTGGGTCAAGTCAAATCACCTTTTTGGTTAGGAATATAGTAGTTTTCCTAGACAGGCTACCCAGTAGGTTATTCTTACATCTCACAGTTCGGAACTGCAAGTGCAGAATTGAGGTTTGTGAGTCTTTTTGAAAATTGAGTACAGGGGCTGGAGACATGGCTCAGTGGTTAAAAGCACTTGCTGCTCTTCCAGAGGACCTGTGTTTGGTTCCTAGGAGCTCATGACCACCTGTAACTTCAGCTCCAGGGGACTTATCTCTCCCCCTCTTATGGCCTCTGAAGGAACCTGCACTCACTTGTGCATACTCCCCCACCCTACATATAAACACAACTAAAAATACACACACACACACCCCCACCCAACCCACCAGAAAACCAAAACCCAGCCAAACCAAAAAACCACACACACAACCAAAACCCAGCCAAACAAAAAACCTAAATAGTGCTGTCCTAGTTTGTCGCTTCATTGCTGTAACAAAACACTCTGACTAATACCAGCTTGGGGAGGAAAGGGTTTATTTTGTCTTACATCTCCCAGGTCACAGTTCATCAGGGAGCCTAGGGTAGGAACTCAGGGCAGGAACCTGGAGGCAAGAGCTGGAGCACAGGCCATGGAGGATCGCTGCTTACTGACTTGCTCTCCTGGCCCCTGCTCTGCCTGTTTTCTCATACAACACAGGCCCACCTGCCCAGGGGTGACACCACCCACAGTGGGCTGGGCCCTCCCACATCACTCAACAGTCAAGAAGATGCCCCACAGACATGGCCACAGGCCAGTCCGATGGAGGCAATTCCCCAGTTGAGGCTCCTTCAATCCACGTGTGTCAAGTTGACACTAAAGCTATCCAGCACAAGTGGGATTCAGAGATCCCCAACTTGGTAAATACACTATAGTGTTGGGAGAAAGGGTGACATGCCTTGAAAGCACAGGGAAGCTACATGTACTTTACCCCCCCCAGGAATTCTGTCTTTTTATTAATAGTAAACTGATAATAAAAGTGAAATGTGTTCTTGAGTTCTACGAGGCATCCTAGCAGACTGCTGAATCTGAGTGGGTCGTCAGGTCCCCACCTTTAGAACTAGTTGGATAGGTGGATAGGTAGTTAAGGAGGTAAACTGGAATTTGGAAGTAGAAGACAGTCCTGAGGGACTGAGCCATTAGTTTGTGGGGTCTGGGCCAACTCAAGTAGTGTTAAAATTGAATTACATTTTTGAACATCCGCTTGATGATCAGATAATCAGAGAATTGGTTTGGGGTATTAGGAAACACCCCAGAACTGGTTTTGGCAGTGGCGTTTGTTGGCATGTGGCCTCAAATATCTTTCCTTTAAACCCTGACTGTCAATTTTAGACTCATGTTTCAGAAAAGAGTTACTACTAAGATCACCAGGTTGTTGGCTACTCCAGCTTAGAAGAGTTTGTTTCTCTTCTTTCTCTCCGAAGGGTGGACGGCATGTGGATTATGTGGTAGATCAGGTTGTTGGTAAACTGATTGAAGTCGTGAAGAAGAAGAACAAAGCTGGTGTGTCGGTGAAGCCGTTTCAGGTAAGTCCTGCCGAAGGTGTGCTGCTGAGCGCCTGCATCGGCCTGTGGATGCTGACCTTTTCTTGTTTTCCGCAGGTCAAAAACCATATATGGGTTTTTATTAATTGTCTCATTGAAAATCCAACCTTTGATTCTCAGACTAAGGAAAACATGACTCTGCAGCCCAAAAGTTTTGGGTCCAAATGCCAACTCTCAGAAAAATTTTTTAAAGCAGTAAGTAAAGCTTGTATTTTTTTAGTTATTGAGACTGGTTAAGTAGATTTCGTGATTGATTTATTCTATTTGTGACTAGAGTCTCTTTTATCATAGTAGCTGTGGTATCGGCAAGCTAATACTATGAGCTGATGTGCTGAATTGTGCTCATGTCAGAGTAGAAGGCACTGTCTCGTTAGAACAGCACCTGTGTTGCCAAGCACAGAAGAAGGGACTTGCATTGCTGGCCATGTTAGCATTCTCTCGGCCATCACAGAGCTCAGGCTTCACCTGACGTGCAGAACCACACAGCTTTGTTTTCGTGTTTCTGCTCTTTTGTTCAACTTCAGCTATTGGTTTTTTTACTTTTACCTTTTTAATTGTGACAATGGTTACCTGATACAAAATGTGGTATTTTCTACATTCTTTAAAATTTCATTTGACTTTGCAATATAACTTTACTTTTCCTAAAATAAGGCTAAAAGTAAATAATAAATTTTGGATTTGTAACTGAGCTTCTGGCTATTTGTAACTTATTGTGTATTAATCAGGATTTGATTCTGTTCACTTGTTCAGCAGTACTGTCAATAAATACTGACCTAATGTGTGGGGCCTTTAAACATATTTGGCAGTTGGAATGGGGTATCAGTAAGCTGCACCCCGACCCCCACTTGTATCTTGGAAGTTTCTAAGTTACAGAGTGGTGGAGGAGTGAGATGGTTGTGGAGAATGCATTTCTCAAATCCCAACAGTAGAGTTTCAAAGGTAGAGAACGTGTAAAAATAAATAAAAGCTGGTTTTCCAGTCCCAGCTTGATTGCCTGTATGTAGAAATGGAACATTTGAATCTCCTCCTAATGAATTCTGAGCACAGATTACCCTGTGTTAATGTTTCCAAAGCTCTGTCCTGATTGCAGTTGCTCTTGTGGAATGACTTGGTAGCAGGTGGTATGGCTTTTCCTGTAAGTGACTTAAGTCTAGACTTGGCACAGCTCACTGCTCTTTTTCCCACAAAGCTATTTTATAGAGCTAAAACCAAATCACTAAAGTTGATGATGACCTTTTAAGCCTTGGAATTGAAGGTGTTTAACTCTTTAAGGGGAGGAGGAGTTTCTGTACCGTCACATACTGAATAGCAAATTACAGTGTGTTATGTGAAGTCCTCATTACCAGTCTAGTTAAAGAGTAGGACCTGTTTGAGTTCCCAATTTTATCCTTATGTGGCCTTTATGGCCATATTTTTATAAAATTCAGGACTCGCATTTTATGTTGAAAGATATTGAAGATGCCAATGTCTGAATTTGCCAGCTAGTAAATTAATAGGTAGATCAACTTTTGCTATGTTGATTTTAACAAAATTAACTTGTAATAAGGGCAGTGTATGTTATTGTGATGTTTACTACAGCAGATTTTTTCTCGTGTTTGTCTTTCAGTACAGCTCACTGTATACATAGCTGAGTTAGTTTTACTGACTGGCCATGATGCCGTTGTATTGTTGTTAGGTACTGGCATGTACTATTGTCATCATCATCACTTTAGCTCTACTTCCAAACTGCCCAGGGTCTAGCTATCATACAATGTCCTATAAATTTTAGTTGAATTTAGTTTGACTTATTCGTATACCATTAATCTTTCATTTTTTTCTTAAGGCCTCTAATTGTGGCATTGTAGAAAGTATATTGAACTGGGTGAAGTTTAAGGCTCAAACTCAGCTGAATAAGAAGTGTTCATCAGTGAAATACAGTAAAATCAAAGGCATTCCCAAACTGGATGATGCCAATGATGCTGGTAAGACTCAGCTTGCTTCTTAAAGATTTCAAGTTTAACTTTTAATTTATTCAGTTATAGAAAGCTTTCAGTTTGACTATGATTATCTGTTCATGCCTCATGTGGGGCTGAAGAGATGGTCTGGTAAGAGTACTTGCAGTGCAATCACGACAGCCTGAGTTCGAATCCCCAGGACCCATGTAAAAAGCTGGGTGTGCCATGCATGTTTGTAACCCCAGCACTAGGAGTTGGAGGTGCCAGATACACAGGTGGATTTGGAGAATTCGCTGGCCATATAATACAGGTGGGTCACGAGAGCAGGCTGGCCAGCCAGCCGAGCTGAACTGAGGAGCTTCCAGTTCAGTGAGAGACCCTGTCTCAAGGTAATGAGGCAAAGAGAGATAGAGGAAGACACCTGATGTCCTGCTTTGGACTCTGCATGAGTGCACATACCTACACATTCAGGTGTATGCACCACACAGGTAACCACACCACATGCACAGACACACACGGCAATTACCCAAAAGAGAGTGAGAGAAAGAAATTGCCTCATGTATACTGTTTTCAAGGATTGGGGCGTCAATAAAATATATTTAAAATTCAAATTTTACTGAGTGTGATGTAAGGTGATTGCTGCAGTCTTTCATTACCATTGTTGTGATCATTAATTTTTGTATCAGTAAAATGAGGAACTTAAAATGCATGCGATTTATTCTTTTTGCCAGGTGGCAAACATTCCCTGGAATGTACACTGATATTAACAGAGGGGGACTCGGCCAAATCGCTAGCTGTGTCTGGATTAGGTGTGATCGGGAGAGACAGATACGGAGTCTTCCCACTCAGGGGTAAAATTCTCAATGTCCGAGAAGCTTCTCATAAACAGGTTTGTATGCATCCGTGTGTGTTTATGCCACTTCTAACAGGGTTGAAGATGGTTGATGTTTCAAATGTGGATTCAGACTCACTTTTCATATATGTTAGCACCTTAAAAATATCCGTGTTTTTCCTTTTCACACAGATCATGGAAAATGCAGAAATAAACAACATTATTAAAATAGTTGGTTTGCAATACAAAAAAAGTTATGATGACGCAGAATCCCTGAAAACCTTGCGTTATGGGAAGATTATGATCATGACTGATCAGGTCGGTTTGAACGTTACCGTGTATTAACAGTTCATAGCTTGACTTGTCTTCCCTCTTACTTATTTGCAGTGGTAGGCCCTAGGCAAATGCTGTCCTACTGCGCTACGTCCCCAGCCCTCAGGTGGTGCTGTGGTCATTGTCCCGGGAATAACGTCCAGGGGACGCACTGCACACAGACACACACCAGAGCTCTCTCGGCACCACTTAAGCTCTCTTGGTACCAGTCTTGTTGGTTATTTGAAGACGTTCCCCATGTGGAAAGTTTAGGGAGAGCAGGAGGCAGAGCTGTGACAGGAAGGATGTGGTGGGCTCTGCACAGGGAAATAGTGTCCAGTAGATGGGGCTACTGCTGGTGCCTGTTGGCCTAAGCTGGGATGCACAGAACCCAGGAGAACTTTAATACAACAGTAATCGTGGGCTTGGAGTGGCTCAGGGGTTAAGGGCACTTACTGTTCTTCCAGAGGACCTAATCAAAACACTGGTCCAAATAAAAACAAATCATTTAAAAAATAGCAGTAATCAAGAAAGAACTAGAAAATTGAAAAGGAAGAACTTCATATACGGCCATTTGTAGAGGAAATCTCCAACAGAAACAGCTGTCCTGTTCAGGTGTTTTGCAGCTTTTATGTCTTGAGAAGACATGTAAATGCGTCCTGTTCTGTTACGCAGTGAGATAAAATGATAACCATGTTTGTGTGATTCTATCTTTAAAACAATTCTATAATCTGGTACATTGTACAACATATACAGTGATAATAGATGACGCATAGATATTCTGCAAGGCAGGTGTGTTCAGTGTATTGCCACCTGTATTTGTATTTTAAGTGATAATTGTTTATTATAGTCATCTAATTTTCATAAAATACAGCTCTACAGTTTGAGTTAATTTTGTCTCGGCTTCACTCACACATCTTAAAATTGGGTTATAAGTAGTACTATTTTGTGCAATTGTTATGTTTTTACTTTACATTTAGGATCAGGATGGTTCTCACATCAAAGGCCTGCTTATTAATTTTATCCATCATAACTGGCCATCACTTTTGAAGCACGGCTTTCTTGAAGAGTTCATCACTCCCATTGTCAAGGTGCTTTTTGCATTGCTTTAATTTTGTACTTTGTTTTAAACATTAGCAGAAACACTAATTTCTTCTTCTTTTTTTAAATTAATTTAAGGCAAGCAAAAATAAGCAGGAACTTTCCTTTTATAGTATTCCTGAGTTTGATGAGTGGAGAAAGCACATAGAAAACCAGAAAGCCTGGAAGATAAAATATTACAAAGGTTCGTGTTTTAACATTTTAGTCTTATGAAGTGACTACTTGTGTAAATTGGTTTTTATGAGCACAGCACGAGATACTCAGAAAGCTTGTCTTAGATTTAAAGACGATTGCGATTAAAAAAATTTTCATAAATATAAGAAAAGATTTTAAAACTCAGAATTAATAAGTTAAACAATTCCAGCTGGGCATGGTGGCACATGCCTTTAATCCCAGCACTCGGGAGGCAGAAGCAGGTGGATCTCTGTGAGTTAAGGCCAGCCTGGTCTACATAGTGAGTTCCAGGACAGCTGGGGCTACTTGTTAAATTCTCATTCTCTCTCTCTCTCTCTCTCTCTCTCTCTCTCTGGAAGAATAGAGAATAATGTAATAGACTCCTCATGCATTTGAACAGTCACTGTTTTCATAGACATTTAACCTTTCTTATCACTATGTTAGTTTGAAATCACTTCTGGACATTATAATATTTCATCTGTAAACACTTTAATATGCATCTAAAAGAATAACTATATTATTCTTTAACATACTAAGAAATCCAGCCATTGTAAAATTCGTCATGATTGTTTCAATGTATAAATAAACATGAAAAGGTTTTAATCATAACAAATACATGCTGTATATTTTTTATATATATATATATATATTTTTTTTTTTTTGGTATTTTTGAGACAGGGTGCCCTGTAGCCTCAGCTGATCTGGAACTCACTCACTATGTAGACCAGACTAGCTTTGAACTCACAGAGATCCACCTGCCTCTGCCTCCTGAGTGCTGGGATTAAAGATATGTGCCACCAAGCCTGGTCCATATATTTAATATTTTAAATCAAGATTCAGATGGTTATCCAGATGGTTATTTGATTGACAGGTCTCTTAAATCTTTGAATGTATTGTTTCTCTTTTATATTTTTCCTTGAAATATATTAAGGAGGCTTGTTTTGTGTAAACTCTCACATCTTAAATTTTGCCTGGTGCTCCCCTTTAGTCTCATTTACTATCCATGTTGTTCCTCTCTGCTCCATATTTTCTGTTAATTGGTAGCTCAGTCGGAGGCATGACCACAGTTTGGTTTGACAGTAACATATAACAAGTAGCTTTGTGTGAGTGCCTCAGGAGTCACGTGCTACTTGGTTTCCCTTTGTTCATTAAACTTGACCAATTGGTATAAGTGTTGCTAGTTTGATCTATCTTTTAATAACTTTCCCTATAAATTTTTCATTTGATGATTTTGAACAGCCATCAGTGTTTGTGACTCTTTTATATTTTAAATTATGCAGGATTAGGTACCAGTACAGCTAAAGAAGCAAAGGAATATTTTGCTGATATGGAAAGGCATCGCATTTTGTTTAGATATGCGGGTCCCGAAGATGATGCTGCCATTACCTTGGTAAATATGTTAATTAAAAAATCTTTTCTTACCTATTCCCTGCCTACCATACCTGTGATATGGTCTTTCTTGAAAGTCTAGTACCTAAAGTAGTAAATTTTTGGGTTTTTTTTCTCCTGACTTGTATTTCTGTAATTGAAAAACTCAGTTCAAATATATTTTTGATTAAGAAAATTAGGAAAAAAAGCTTTACCAGAGTAATTATTGGCCATTTATAAATTTAAATTTTTAATGTAATTAATTTCAATGTGTGACGTTACTTGGACTCCTTCAGGCTTTTAGTAAGAAGAAGATTGATGACAGAAAAGAGTGGCTAACAAACTTTATGGAGGACCGGAGACAGCGTAGGTTACACGGCCTACCAGAGGTCAGTCCTGAGGGGGGTCTGCGGGGCGGGGACGGGAGACCAAGTGCGGCAAGAATAAGTGTTTCTGTGTGACTTTCTCCTAGCAATTTCTATATGGTACAGCAACAAAGCATTTGACTTACAATGATTTCATCAACAAAGAATTGATTCTCTTCTCAAACTCAGATAATGAGCGATCTATACCATCTCTTGTGGATGGTGAGTAATCTTGGTTTAAAAGTCATTTTTACACACTATTGAGTATTTCTTAATGTCATGTGCTTTAGTTACCCTTATGACTCACTTTAAAATTCTTATTTGTAATCTTAAGAGACATGAAGAACTGATTCAAAGGACTTTAAAACTTTTGATATGTTGGGAGAGAGCTGACGTATTTAATATGCGTCAATTTGAAACTTTTAAAGCCTTCTTGAGTTTTTCAGGAAAATTAAGGCCAATCTCGAAAGCTATTGCTCATGTTGATTTCTAAAATTAAAATTTCTGAAGAATTTATAAAACTCAAAAGTAAAATAGGTCTTTGATGTTTAAATATCAGAAAATAAGTTTTTTAAACATCTTTATGTCTCATTAATGAAAACCTAATTCTTCAACACAATTTAACTTGAAAAATTTATAAACTTTTCCGTTACAGCAGATACTGGCTTCTTTGGAATTTCCCCTCATTTTAGAACTCAGGGCAGATTTGTTCACCTTGGTGTTGCTTGATTTATCAGCTAATAGCAATTTTGTCCATTTGTAATGTTTGACCTGAAATCGCCTCTCTTCTATGATGTCCTTCTTGTCTAAATTGGCCTCAGATGCCTGAACTTTCACGTCAGTTCTTAGGTGCCTCTAATTTGCCTGTGTTAATTTTGCTTCCTTCATTCCATCATAAAATTTTTCAAGTGGCCGTGTTTAGCATCTCGTTTCCTCCGTGCCCAGGCCCACACTGAGGACGGCAGTAGGTGGCAGTTAGGATGCAGCTGCTGCTCTGTACACTGGCCTCACACAAGAAGCGAAGGCAAGCACCCGTGTAACTCAGGTCCTTGGAAAAGTTATTTCGATCACTCTCTGGACACTGAGACTGACTTAATAATTTGCTCATTCACATGGTGGCCAGATTAGCAAGATTTAAAGTCTTAATTGCCACAGTATACCTTCGTAAGAGTTTTCCTGACTGGGGAGATTTATCCTAGAGGCTCTTGAGCTGCTTGCTGGTACATTTCCTGTGGAAATTGCCTTCCCTTGGTGTTTGACTTTGGAATTGAGAAATTGTGCCGTTTCCTCTCCTAAATATGTATAACATTGTTACCATTAAGAGGTAATATTTTAAAAGGAGGGTTGTTCTTTTTGAAAATAGGCTTTAAACCAGGCCAACGAAAAGTTTTGTTCACCTGTTTCAAGAGGAATGATAAACGTGAAGTCAAAGTCGCCCAGCTAGCTGGATCTGTTGCTGAAATGTCTGCTTATCATCATGGAGAAGTAAGTATTAAGGTCGGAGTCAACTGGAACTGCGGTCATTGGCATGTGGGACAATAGTTATGCAAAATAAACAGCTTTCTTTATGAGGTCTTTATAGAATTAAGATTTTAATACAAATTGAGACCTTGCTCCAGAAAGCTTAGACTATCTGTCTCCTGTTGTGTTCTTTCCCATTCTGTAGCAAGCCTTGATGATGACGATTGTGAATCTGGCCCAGAACTTTGTGGGAAGTAACAACATTAACTTGCTCCAGCCCATCGGTCAGTTTGGAACTCGGCTTCATGGTGGCAAAGATGCTGCGAGCCCTCGTTACATTTTCACAATGTTAAGGTGAAATGTTGATTTATTGATATAAAGTTCAGTTTGAAATTTATTTCTATGAAGTAAAAGTTTAATAGAATTGTACTGTGGAGAGGATTGTTACCCTATTCTCCTGAGGTTGGCTGTTCCAGGGTCTTTGATTCTTAGTGAAATCAGTCCTGTGCAGTGACTATACAGATTTGTTATGTAGACTAATAGGAGTTTCTCACAGTAATTTAATATTAAGGAATTTAGGTAGATGAGCAAACATGTAAGTAAAAAGGGTTATTTTATATGGCCTTGTGCTTGAGAAAACTGCACTAGTGTTATCAGTGTGAATGGATTTTATTGTTGCTATGTGATCACAGTGGTAAAAGTATGCAGTCTTGGAGATGCTTCATTTCTCAGAGCCTGTTCTTTCTTTTGTTAGCTCCCTAGCAAGACTACTTTTTCCAGCTGTGGATGATAACTTGCTTAAGTTCCTTTATGATGATAATCAGCGTGTTGAGCCCGAGTGGTACATCCCCATCATCCCCATGGTTTTGATTAATGGTGCCGAGGGCATTGGGACGGGATGGGCTTGTAAGCTGCCCAACTATGACGCCAGAGAGATTGTGAACAATGTCAGACGGATGCTGGAAGGGCTGGAGCCCCATCCAATGGTGAGCTTTCAGGGCCTCTGGCTCCTGTCATTACTTGGGTGATAATGGGTAAAGGGCAGAGTTCAGTTCTTATAGAGAGTACTGAAACCTTTTTATTTTAGAGCCACTGTGTATAGCGAAGACCCTATTTGGATGTAACTTGTTGTTTTCTTACATAAAGGATAGAAAGGAATGAGTCTGAAGATAAGTTATGGTGAGAAACTCTTATTGACATTTTAAAATAGCTCACATTCCGGGCTTCCAGACCTCTGTACTGTATAGAGAATGGTGTTCTTGTGATGCAGTCATTCGCAACTTGTTTCTTCCTCAAACTGCTAAGTCATGAACATTTTCCTTATGACATACTTAGTATGTTTTAGTCAAGAATGACGCTCATTGTGGACAATATGATTAAGCAGAGAAGAAACTGCAGAACTGACACAGACACAAAGCAAGTCGGTGTGTTTGTTTTCAAGGGTTTTTAAAAATAAACATTAGCTGGGCATAGTGGCTCTCAGTACTCGGGAGGCAGAGACAGGTCGGTCTCTGAGATTGTGGCTAGCCTGGCCTACGTAGTGAGTTTGAGGCCAGTGTGGGCTACAGGGAGACCCTGTCTCAAAGTAAAAAAATAAAAACTGCAAAAACTTACATTATGAATATGCTCATATTGTTTTTCTTTTAAAGACTTTAAAATGCATGCAGAGGCCAGAAGAGAACATTGAATGTCTTCTCTCACTTTCCACCTTGCTGTCTGGACACAGGGTCTCCTGTGAACTGAACTGGAAGCTCACCATTTTGAGTAGACTGGCTGGCCAGTGAACTCCAGGGAGCCATCTCTCTGCTCCTAGTGCTGGAGTTGCAGGCATGCTTGCCATGCCTGGCCTTTTGCATGGATACTAGAGATTCAAACCCAGGACCGCATTCATACCCTCTTACCTACTGAGCCATCGCCCAAGCTCCAGATTACTTCTTATGAGAGTGTTTAGTTAAGCTGTGTTAGCCACATTTTAGAGTGATGAGATGGAGTGTATTATCAATGTTTGCTGCTTGTGTGCCTGGTTTACACATGGCCCTGCACTAGGAGGGGAGTTTCTTGTCAGGATGAGAAATTTACAGTAATCAAAGATAATTGTTGGTCAGTACACACAACATGCCCTGTGTTATATACTTAAGTTCTTAGTAGTGGCCAAAGTACAGATTTTAGAAGAGGGAACACTCTCTTGTAGTTTGTTTGAGAATAAGCACATACATATTTGTGAATGTAATGGAGGAGCTGCATGTGTGTCAGAGCTGGTTTGTGGCCTGAACACCTGAGGTAGGCTGCTTTTGAAGGGAGGATGTTCATTTATTTCAGTTCTGGAGCTCTGGAGCTAGAGGCCTCATCTGGTGATGGCCTTCTTGGAGTGTGTGCACATGTCCCTCTTCTTAACATAGCTCCAGGATTTGATCATATGGCTCCACCCTAATGACCTTGTTTAATCCTAGTTATTTCCCCAGATCCTCAGCTCTAAACAACCACATTCAGATTGTGTACAGTGGTGATATTTTTACATGAAACCTTTGGGAATGTTCAAATTGTATTTAAAGCATAGCAGATAGAATGAATACTCAAAATCTTCAAGCAGAACAAGGGGGAAGAGTAGTGGTTCTGCAGAGTGAATCCCTAGTTAAAGTCAGAAAGTTGAACCCGACCCAGACATGAATGTAAAGCCTAAGGAGTATGAATATACAGGATATGAAGCAAAACAGGAGGAATTTGGGGCCAGGGAACTGCAGAAGAGTGCTGTTGAGGAAGACTGGACGCTGTCATGGAATCGGAGCTTGGATAACATTCCGATTAGATTAACAGAAGCCATACCAGCTCAGCTGAGGATGAGGAATTCAGATTCAGTCCACATCAGCAGACCCCACACTGACGGGCATTCAGGTGGTACTGGCACAGCAGAGCAAAGCCTTACTATGTTGTTTGTATTCCTTCCTGCAGCTTCCAAACTATAAGAACTTCAAAGGCACCATCCAGGAACTTGGTCAGAACCAGTATGCTGTCAGTGGTGAGATATTTGTGGTGGATAGAAACACAGTAGAAATTACGGAGCTTCCTGTCAGAACGTGGACACAGGTTGGTATACCATGTGAGAAGGCATTGCGTTGAACCATTCTTCATGTGACTGTTTGCTCTAAGTCTGTGTAGTGCTTAATTCTCATCTGCATCTTTTAACCTGTAATTGTATTTGTGCTTTTGATTTTCAATTTTAAAAAGCTTTTAAACTTCTGTAAATAATACTTGCATCATGGCTTGAATTAGGTGGTACTTTCTTCATTTCTTCAAGACTTTTTATACTTGGCTTGAAACGAAAAGGGCACAACAGGAAATACTATTTTAGGTCTTTGTAACCATTCTCTATACATCCATGTCAGCAGTGGCCGTTATAATCTAATGCACATTGTTCACTTCTGCCAGTTTTAGCTGATGTCATCCTCCTCACACCCTTGGACTTTATGGTATGCTTTGGAGTGGAGTGGATTAGAACCATCCCCTCTGTCTCTCCTCACACTGAGCACACCCCACACCGTCCGTGTCTCCTCACACTGAGCACACCCTATATAGAGCTTCACTCTAAAGATGATGAGCACAGGCAACTGAGATGGAAGCTTCCTTTCTGCCTCCACAGGAGTTGAGAATTTTTAAAGGTTTGTATAATTTGTGAGAACATGCTAGAGTGTTATAAAAAGAATCATTGTATTCTTAAATGTCTTGTAGGTGTACAAGGAGCAGGTTCTAGAACCTATGCTAAATGGAACAGATAAAACCCCCGCACTAATTTCTGATTACAAGGAGTATCATACTGACACAACTGTGAAATTTGTGGTGAAAATGACGGAGGAGAAGCTTGCACAAGCAGAAGCTGCTGGGCTGCATAAAGTTTTTAAACTTCAAACTACTCTCACTTGCAATTCCATGGTAATCTCCATCTTTCCTGCATGGATGCACGCTGGGTTGTCGTGGTGGGAGTGCTGTGGTGAGCGTGAACGCTGAGGAGCCCCAGGTCCTTCCTCTCCTTGCCTGCGCCTGCTGCCTTTGCTCTCAGTGCTGTGCTCAGCACCAGGGTCTGGGCACCCCAGATGCACACCCCTCCACATGCACCGACAAGACTTATCATAGTGATTACTGCAGCGTTTACACCTGCCTATGTCCATCTTCGCTATCATTTTGACTCTAGAGTGCTTACCTGGTTGTGACTACCCTCTTTAGTAAACTTAAATGTTTGCATATGTATAGTTGTAGAGGAAAGTCGAAAGTTAATGTGTTTGATTACCCAAGTTCCATTCAAAGTTAACTTTTAGATTTAAAATAAAATAAAAATCCAGTAGTACCATAACATCCAAGGAACAGTACTGGGATCTCAAAAAGGCTGAGAGAAGTAGGAGGGGACAGAGAACTGGCACAAGCACTTGAAGTGGAGGCAGATCCATGTCCATCATGGGTGGGAAGGAAGGCTTGAAGCAGTGCTTTAGCTTAGACATAAGGCGGAGATGTTTTTAGTATGGAGTGGGTTTTACAGCTTTATGAAATAAGTGTATGAGTGTGTCTGTGTGGTGTGAACATGAGTGTAGTGCCTGGAAAGGCCAGAAGAGGGCATTGGCTCTCCTGGAACTGAGTTCCAGGAGAGGGCTGGATGTGGTGTGGAGTGTGGTGTGGAGTGCTCTTCAAAAGCAGGTGTGCTCTTAACCACCACTCCAGCCCCCAAACCCCTCTTTTGTTCTTTTTTTGGTCTTTTTGAGACAGGGTCTCCCTGTAGCCCCAGCTGTCCTGGAACTCACTATGTAGACCAGGCTGGCCTTGAACTCATAGAGATCTGCCTGCCTCTGCCTCCCCAGTGCTGGGATTAAAGGTGTGCGCCACCTTCGTGGGGACCTTGCCATGCCCAGCTTTATACAGGATCAAATTTAGGTCCTCATGCTAATGCAGTAAGCATGTTACCAACCAAGCCACCATGCCTGGCCCAAACCCCTCTTTTAAAAAATTCCTTTTTTTTCTCTCAGAATTACTATTTTAAGTACTTCTGTAGTTTTGAGAATTAATCAAATTTTTATCACCAGAAAGATATTTATAGAAATGCATTTAATTATTTCAGTTCTATTTAATGCATTTAGGGTTAGTGTGTGTTCGTATTACAGTTATTTTAAGTACTGTAGATGTCATGTAAATTAAAATACCAATATAGATTTGTGGAATCAAAAGAAAAACTTTGCATTTTGCATAGGTACTCTTTGACCATATGGGATGTCTGAAGAAGTATGAAACTGTGCAAGACATTCTGAAAGAATTCTTTGATTTACGGTTAAGTTATTATGGTTTGCGGAAAGAATGGCTCGTAGGAATGTTGGGAGCAGAATCTACAAAGCTTAACAATCAAGCCCGTTTCATTTTAGAGAAGATACAAGGGAAAATTACAATAGGTAAGACACAGCCTTTAAAGATTTGAATATTAGTTAAAATGGAAACAATCTTTATAATAGAAGACATTTTTATCAGTAGAGTATAAGCAAATACAAATTGACTCTCTTTTCTTGATCCTAACTTTATTTTTCCCTCACATAGAGAATAGGTCAAAGAAAGATTTGATTCAAATGTTAGTCCAGAGAGGTTATGAATCTGACCCAGTGAAAGCGTGGAAAGAAGCACAAGAAAAGGTAATCACTTGCAGAAAAAGACACTTAGAGAAGCTCTGAAAAGCAGCCTCCAAAACACAGTCCCAACCCCCCAAATTGAATTTAGAATTGTCAGAGGTGCTAGACTGGCTTTTTGGAGACTGAAGTCTTCTGCTGACTCGCAGAGCAGACACGGTACAGGAGTGTGCAGTCACACCCCACAGAGCACTTTGCCACGTGCCTCTGCAGGCCTGGAGACGTGACTGCAGGGTGAGAAGGTGACTCCGTCTCCTTCGTCTTTTTCTTTACCTCTGAGCCTGCTGTGACGCGGGTCATTGTGGTGGTGGTTTCTGAGGTACACGCAGACTCAGATAAGAACTAGACTGCATCCCTCAGTCAGTCCAGTGTCCAGTCTGAGATGCCAGTGTGGAGCCTGGGCACCACTCGGCTGCTTATGGTGACTGGGAGGCTGGGAAGATGAGAGACACGCGTGTGCTGTTATTGCCATTGACACCAAGGATGTGCTCTGCCTGTGCTTAGACTTTGGTCAGAAATGGAAACACTGGAACTTCAGATTACAAGTCTGATGTTTAAGTTATGTTGTCCATTTCAGATAAAGTAGCCCTGACCTAACGAATGACGTATCGAAACTCAGAGTCCCCCAAGAATTAGCTTCTTTATTGTGTATAATAAGAAATTTAAAAGACAATATAACATTGTGATTGAGAACAGAATGTAGAAAAGGAAGAATATTTGGAATGATTAATATTTTTACGTGCTTGAGTAGATTTGGATATATTTATATTTTAATGCTAATATTGCTTAAAAATAGTTATGACTCTGTGACATAACCTGAACTGAAATGTTAAGTTTCCCTGCACTTAAGAGTTCTCAATCATAATGTTTTTGCGTTTTCTTAGCAAAGTACATTGAAATACTGCTTTGGTTCACATTTTAAAAGTTTTGAAATCCATGCAATGTGTTAGAGTAAAATTAGAATAAATTACACAATATCAAGATTTTAGACTATTCACTACTGGAGGAAAGTGGGAGAGGACAGGGCAGTTCTTCTAGCTGGGATGACTGGAACTCTGGATTTATTATCGCTAAACTGCACATTGTTCTTTGTATCCTACTTGCACATCTATGTCATTGTTGGTTCAAGTGCTATCTTTAAAAATGGCCTAGTAAACTAATGAAGTTAACATTTAGGAGATAAAGATAGCCAGGCGTGGTGGCGCACGCCTTTAATCCCAGGCAGAGGCAGATGGATCTCTGTGAGATCAAGGCCAGCCTGGTCTACATAGTGAGTTCCAGGCCCTCTGGGGCCACAGGGAGACCCCGTCTCAGAAAACAAACCAAAAACCCCCAGCAGAACCGACAACAAAAACATGAAAATATCCCTGATCTGAGAACAGCCCTTCTGCTGGGAGCAGAATCCCGGAGTGAAAGCTAGCTTGCTGTCAGTAGTTACATCGTTGCCATCACAGTCTTCTGCACTGTGTATACTTGAAGAGAGGAGTTCAGGGACCTTTAGTCCTGAGAGGCCCTTACTAGAGTGTTGGGGAAGAGAGAGGGAGAAAGCTGCTGATTAGAAGGTTACTTCTGGAACTGTGGAATTCTATCATTAAACTTGAAAAAGTTCATTTTTACTGATTTGTAAGGTGCCCTTAGTTCTATTCCTGTTAACAGTAATTTATTTTATGTATGATATATGAGAGAGAGAGAGAGAGAGTGTGTTAATAATACTCTGGTGTCAGGAAGACCTAGGTCATTCGGATTTATAGAGTGGGTCTGTTCCCTTGTGCCCTAAGACCTCACAGTAAACTAGTGCTGAGGGGCTTCATAGCAACACATTGTTTCATGAATTTTTTAAAACTGTAGAACAGCTGGCCCTGGTGGTGCACACCTTTAATCTCAGCACTTGGGAGGCAGAAACAGGCAGATTTCTGGGAGTTTGAGCCCAGCCTAGTTCCAGACCAGCCAGGACTTCAGAGTGAGACCCAGCCTTAAAGAAAAAACAAAGCAAAACCCCAAACAACCAACCCATACTAAACCAGAAAACCTGTTAGTTTGCTGTAAGTTATCCAGGACTTTATTACTTGTCTGTCAAGTCATCACCATTCCTTATGTGGCTAATGTTGCTTGATTGAGTTTGTAGCTTAGCTTTACTCATGTAGTGAAGCATCTTGATTTACAATTTAAATTTTTATCATTTCATTTCTAAAGTACACTCAGACTTAACTTTGTATATATATATTTTATTTCAAAATTTTAAATTATAAAGCTTAAAACTTTTGGCTTAATGGAATGTTGCAGTTAACTTAGTTATTTTTAAATTATCTTTATGACTTAAACAACTTTGGTTCAATATCACTTAATGCCTATTTTTATTTTTAAGCCCTTGAAATTACTTATATTGAATTCATTGTGCTTTGAAAAGTATTATTAGCATAAAAAGACTTTTAAAGGATTTTTTTTATTGTTTTCATGAAACATTTCATGAGTAAAATTTCAGAAAATCCCTGACACTTTAATTAACTCATCAATTATTAATCTTCAGTCAACTTACTTTCTGAGTCCTCATTTGAGTAATCTTGTCTTAGGGAATATTTATTAAGAATTCATCCTTAGTGAATAAATATAGCTTGTTATGTATTATATCTATTCAAACATTTTTCATAAGTGATTTATTTGGGGTTTCATATTGCTCAGTCATTGATCAGTGTGAAAGTCTGATAACACACAATGGCAAAACATTTAACATAACCATTTTAAGCTACAGTATCTTCTCATTTTGTGACTTAGCTTCTGAGGAACACAGTTAATCTTTCATCAAATTCCTGGGTAAATAGGGTTAGAATATACTTACTCCCTCTGAAGATTTATTATATATCTTAAGGAAATCTGAAACTTTAATTCTTTTTGTAGGAAACATGTTTATTGGTAATCTTGTAGATAGTCTTAAATAACTCCACCACCCTGAAGGTGTAGCATTGAGTGTAGTATTTGTAGAACTGTAAATACAATAGTCAATGAAATTAAATGTTGATTTGATGCTATAATGGACTTTAATATAACATTTATTATTTTTACAGGCAGCGGAAGAGGAAGACACACAAAACCAGCATGATGATGGTTCCTCTGACTCGGGAGCTCCCTCAGGCCCTGATTTTAATTATATTTTAAATATGTCTCTGTGGTGTCTTACTAAAGAAAAAGTTGAAGAACTCATTAAACAGAGAGATACAAAAGTATGAACTTTTGTGGGCTAAATAATTTGAAACTCTTTCAGTATTATCTATGTCTTTGATTTTCTTTTTCCAAAAATATTTTGATTTACCCTTTACACATTTAAAATCTATTAAATCTTAAACTGTGCTACTTTTTTCTTTTTTATTTTATTATAGGGGCGAGAGGTCAATGATCTCAAACGAAAATCTCCTTCAGATCTTTGGAAAGAAGATTTAGCAGCATTTGTTGAAGAATTGGATGTATGTTAAGTCTCTATTAAAATATATTTCAGACTGGGGCTGTCACTCATTGGTAGTGCATTGGCCTGGCACGGGCAAGACCCTGGACCCACTCCCCAGTACTGCTAAATAAGTGAATAAGAAAATAGTCTAGAGAGAATGAAATGTACTTGGAATACTGTTTATGAGGTGACCATGAAAGTCTTTGTCAGTTATCAGGATTTCCTTGAACTCTGCGTTAATATTTATAAGCTGTTAGGATTAAGTTAGCTTTTGGTCTATGAAGTTATACAGAAAAGCTATTTCTACTGTGAATGTATATAAATGTTTATTGAGTTGAAATGCAGAAAAAATTAAATTCCAATACTTTCTGTTGGTTTAACCTGCTTCTAAATGTGCTAACTGATATAATTTGACAATTTCCTGAGAAGAGGTAAGGCATATATATGAATGTGACTGAATATGGGTGGGTATTTGGACTTCAGACTTATAACAAATTTCAATGTTTTTATGTTAGTAGAGTTCTAATTTAAAAGTATGGAAAAGATTAAAAATTGTCTCTTTAAAAGTACTAGAAATAAATTGAGGACCAGAAAGTGAGCTACCACTTAGTATTACATAAGGTACTTTCCTTTTCACTTTTCAATAATTTCATTGTTTCTAGTTATTCATTATACTATGATTTCAATACTTAATTTTACTGTCCATGCACCCCAGTGTTAGATCCATGGTGTGTGTTCAAATTAGAACTCTTAGGGACAAATGGGTTTTATTACTAGCCTGATGTAATTTCTGAAAAAAAATTTCTTTTCAAAAAATATTTATTATTTTTATTTTATGTGTATGAGTGTATTACCTGCATGTCAGTGAATGCACCCATGTTGTGCAATGCTGAGGAGGTCAGAAGAGGGCTTTGGGTTCCCCTGGAACTGGAGTCAAGACAGTTTGTAGCCACCATGTGGATGCTGGGAATCAAACCCCGGTCCTCTGCAAGAGCAGTCAGCACTCTTAACCTCTGAGCCATCTCTCCAGCCCCAGTTTCTGAAAATTTTTTAGTGCTCTTGTCTAGGTTACCTCAGTGCTCTTTTAAGTGCATGGAGTGCACTTCGCTTTTTAACTTACCATTCATCAAGTAAATTTTTTTTATAAAGAAAATTTTTTTTTCTGACTTTTATGTTAAAACATTAATATTGTGTTATGGCTAGTGTTCCATGGTAGAGCGCTTTGCCCAGCATGAGGGAAGCCCTGGGTTCCATCTCTATCACCATACATAGGAAAAATGATTTCCCATTAAAAATGAAACAAGCATATTTTAAAAGGAAGATGATGGTTCCTGGTCACTATTACTATGACTCTGACATTGCTTTAAATGTGATCACTGACTAATAAAGAGAAGCAAGCTCATTTTATGCTTACTTGTTACACACACACACTCTGGAGTTGAAAAGTCATCATTCAAAGCAATCCCAGGACCCCCAAATGTAGCATTTTACTTTTAATTCACCACTTTATTACTTGTTTAGTAGCAGTGTTTGAACAAGTTAAGTTCTAACTATAGGAGTTGAGCATGGTAGCACACACCTTTAATCTCAGCACTTAGGAGGCAGAGGCTGGCAGCTCTCTGTGAGATCCAGGTCAGCCTGGTCTATGGCCTACATAGCTAGTTCCAGGCTAGCTGGGGCTACAGGGAGACCCTGTTTCAAAAAAACAAGCAAAACAAAACACAATTCTAAATTCAGTGCTGGAGAAATGGTTTGGTGGTTAACAGTGCTTCCTGCTCTTTGGAGGACCCCAGTTTGATTCCCAGAGCAGGTGACTCACAACCACCTGTAACTCCAGCTCTGGGGATTTGATACCTTCTTTTGGCCTCTGAGGTCACCCACACACATGTAACATACACTTAGACACAGACACATAACAAAAAAAAGTCTTTAAATTCTAGATGTTTTTTAATATCTAAAAAGACTTCAATTTCATGATTCTGCATTGTTTCAAGTCTAATGATACATAAAGAATTGAACACACTTTGTGTGCTGACACTGCATTGCATGTAATTCTTAAATGAAATAGGTCATCCTTAACCTGTAATGCAGGTAAGGATTCAGAGCCTAGAGAGATTAAGCAGCTTGTTTAGAGAGGAATCATTTTGGTATGTTTCAAAACAATTATTCATCTTATCAGAGCCCTGTTTCCTCATCTGTAATGTAGAGATGATGGGAGTTTTTAATACCTTACACATGGTAAATGCCACACCTATCAGTTTTACTGAGAATATGTCCCTATGAGTACAAGTGCCACATTAGAATGGAGAGTGTTTAGCGTTGAAGCCTGTCTTACCTTAAACTACTATGTAACTGGTCTCTTTCAGTGCCTTTCAAGATATATCACTTTCCCTTGTGTCTTTCAAAGTCTATTGTTAGTTATTTGAAAGGATAACTGTAGAATATAGAATCTGTGGTGTTAATTGGTGTTGCATCTTCATTTATGGTTATATGAGTGAGCTCTGTAAGTTCAGTGTAAATGTGCTGAGACTTGGTTTTTGTTTTTACTTTCTGACCTGACCTTTATTTTAACTAAAGCAAGTAAAAAGAATAGCTTCATACCTCTTACCAGAAGAGTCTGTTTCTGATGATTCCAGGTCATCAGTGGTCCCAGTTCCTTAACATCATAGGGTCCTGGGACTGGAAAGCACCACTTTAGGTCATGTAGTCACTACTACTGACTTGTAGTATGAGTGAGAAACTACTTACATGAATTGGGATTACAACCCAGGTCTTCTGACTTGGATTCTTTCTTTTCTTTTTTTTCTTTTCTTTCTTCCCTCCCTCCCTCCCTCCCTCCCTCACTGTTTTATCTTTTAAGTCAACTGAAAAGAAAGCTTTATTTTTTTAATTAAAAAATTTATTATTTTTATTTTATGTGTATGAGTGTACTGCCTGCATATAGGTGAATGCACCTGTGTTGTGCAATGCCCTCGGAGGTCAGAAGAGACTGTCAGATCCCCCGGGACTGGAGTTATGAACAGTTGTTAGCCGCCATGTGGGTGATGGGATTCGAACCCAGGTCTTCTGCAAGAACAACCAGTGTTCTTAACCGCTGAGACATCTTGTTAGCCCTGAAAGCTTTACCTTTTTTAATGAAGGAATAAAATGTTTCAGTTTCTTAGTCAGTGGCGATTGGCTTTGTAAAGGGCTATTTTGTATCCCCTCCTCGCTCTCATTACATTTCAGAAAGTGGAAGCACAAGAACGAGAAGATATTCTGGCAGGAATGTCTGGAAAAGCAATAAAAGGTAAAGTCGGCAAACCTAAGGTGAAGAAGCTCCAGTTGGAGGAGACGATGCCCTCACCGTATGGGAGGAGAATTGTTCCTGAGATTACAGCTATGAAGGCAGACGCCAGCAGAAAGTTGCTGAAGAAGAAGAAGGTATTCAGTGTTCCTATGTCAGTCATTGCTAGACACCACTCTGTAATACATGTATAAATATGTATTTGTGCCTTAATTTTTGCTTGTGTGCTTAATCGTGCTTTGTATTTTGTAATGTATTTTGATTGTGATAGCAAATGTTTCTACAAGTGCAGCTGATCTACGGAAGGACAGCCAGTTACTAGTAGAGGTCACACATGTGCTTAGAGCCACTCACTTGATTCAAGGTTCGGTTTTTCCCCTCAGTTTGGCCTCAAACTTGTTGGCCTAACTGGTACCTACCTTGGCTTTCTGAGTAGATGGTGCTATATAGGCTATGCCTTTGTCCCTGGCTTAAATTCTATTTTTAAAGTGAGAAACACTCAACATCTTTCTAAATTAAAATTAAAGCGCACAAGTTTGTCGACTTTGTGATTCAGTCCTGTATTATGACTAAGGGAGCGCTGAGCAGAATGAGGGTCATTTAGCTTTCATAGTAACTTGCCTTTTACTTTATCCTTTTTTCTTCTTGTTAAATATTTATTAAACATACCCTGCATTGTTGGCAATGACGGGTACGATCAAGAACTTTAAACAATATGACGTTTACCTACTCTTGAGCAGGATGGGTTAGGGTTAGCCAGATTCTAGCAAAGGCTAAAAAGAATGTTCAGAGTTGAAAAAGCAGGTCTGTGATGGTCTCTCAGGCTAATGGTGTGAACAGGTTGGTTTACAGCCCTGGAAATGTCTCAGCAGATCTGCTCAATAGGTAGCTGAGAGCATAGGTGCTTTGCAGGTTTGGGACATGAACCTGAGCTGGGGTCAGAGGGTCTTTGAGCAGAGCTAATATGGGAGCATTAGACGAAAGAGCAGGAGATCTGGGATGATGGAGGTCTGTACAACTGCTCCAGGTGCCGCCTCACCATGCTGCACCCTTTGTCCTTAGAGTGGCGTCTGTCCTCTTCAGTTGGTGTCTGTTAGGGGCACGTCTTCCCGTTCTTCCTTCTACTTAATTTATTATTTTATCTTTTTATCTTATGTGTAAGCGTGTATTGCCTGCGTGTAAGTGCACCCGTGTCGTGCAATGCCCACAGAAGACAGAAGAGGCTGTCGGATCCCCTGGAACTGGAGTTATGGACACTTGTTGGCTGCCATATGGGTGCTGGGATTCGAACCTGGGTCTTCTGCAAGAACAACCAGTGTTCTTAACTGCTGAGCCATCTCTTCAGCCCCCTCTTCTACTTTTTGTAGTATCAGTAACCCCATCCCCGCCTACTTGGAGCTTTGCCCGCTTATAACAATAACTTAAATCCCTGTCCCCAAGCTGTAACGTTGTGCCAGACCATGTGCATCCACCTGGACTCCCAAAGCTCCTCAAACTTGGCCTGTCTGAAACTGGGCCATTATCCTGATTCCAGCACCTGCTCTGGCCTCCTCTTGGTGCTCTTCCCACCTCACAAATTTAGATGATTCTTTCAGAACCCGGTCAGATGGCTCCGAGGACACTTCTCTGACTCTCCTTAAGCAGAGTAGCTCACTGTGCCTTGAGCTGCTGCTATTCCTCACTCTGTACTTGTTACTGTGTTGCAATAATTGGTGTGCTTACTCTGCTGTCCTTCCCAACGGTCTTAGGGCTGAGTCTGCCTTAGAGCCTAGGCAACAGTACACAACACCTGTTGCCTTTTTCCTTCAGTCATTTGAGGATGTGTTTCTGGTATGTGGAAACCTTGGACATAGGCACTGACTCAGTGGTGTCTTCTGAATGACTTAGCTGTTGGTCTCATAGTTCCTTGATAATTGAGAGCCTGCCTTCTTTTCTATGGTTTTTCAGCTGTCTTCTCAGTGACTAGACCAGAAAGCTAGAGTTAGCAGGTGAGTCGATGGTAGGACCTTAACAGGATTACAGTAAAACAAAAACAGAAAGCATACTTGGTATGAAGAAACTGTTGATCGAAACTGTCTCTCTGAAATATTTAGACTTAATTTGAGTTTTAGTTGTACTCATGATTTGTTTTGGTTTTTAACATGTAGGGTGATTCTGATACCACAGTAGTAAAAGTAGAATTTGATGAGGAATTCAGTGGAGCACCAGTAGAAGGTGCAGGAGAAGAGGCAATGACCCCATCAGCTCCTGTAAATAAAGGTCCCAAAGCCAAAAGGGAGAGAAAGGAGCCTGGTAAGTCATGTCAGTGCTGGTGTGTGTGAGGACTGCAGGCGCAGGTTCTGATGAGCGTGCTTGGTAGTTCAAGTAATGCTGCCGTTTCCATGTGTGTTTACTGTTTTATAGTGGACTTTCCATTGAAGACTTTCACCAGTGATTTTGTATATTTGTACATATATTCCCATTGTTTGGCTTTTAGGGACCAGGGTTAGGAAAACACCTGCGTCATCTGGTAAACCTAGTGCGAAGAAAGTGAAGAAACGAAACCCTTGGTCAGATGATGAGTCCAAGTCAGAGAGCGACTTGGAAGAAACGGAGCCTGTGGTGATTCCAAGAGACTCTTTGCTTAGGAGAGCAGCTGGTACTGTGCTACATTTTATATCTATTTTATTGTACATTATGCTTGACCTGTCAATCAGTATTTATTAGTATTATCGATGTCACTAAAGTTGTAAATCATTGCTGAGATGAACCACAAAAAGTATTGATTTACAAAATGATCTTTTTCGAAAACAAATTGTGTTTTCCTGTTGAATTTTATTATAAAGCTTGGATATATTCCCTGCTTGGCTTTAAGATACTAGTTTTAAAAACAGTCACCTGGTGGTAGGGAAGTACCACTTGTGTTTTCTACCCGTCACGACGTGTCTGCTGCTTGGAGCTGTCTGTCCAAAGCTCTGTAGATGCAGTGCTGAGCTTTGCTGTAGCATCTTGCCTAATTGATATGCTGTGTTAAGCAGGGGCTGTATGGCACAAGGCCACATTGACCACTTCTGTGTTTTGAGTTAATAGCTAAGTATAATGAGCAATATCTTAATCAAACAGTCCCAGCAGTCAGTATTTCTTCTGACACATTACTGCCCACTCCCCTAGAGGTAGAGAGCAAATACCACACTTTGAAGTTGGTTTTTATTCTCTAAATGTTCATCTTTTTCTTACATATTTTAAAATTCCTTTAAGTGGTAAATCTAGGGTTTTGAGTTTCCCATTCTTTTGTTGTTGCTCTTGAGCTGTTACCCAGGCTGGCTTCAAGCTCCTGGGCATAAGTGCTTCTCCTGCCTCAGCCTCTTGATTATCTGGAACTGTAGCTACATGCCACTACATGCTACTACATGCCACAGTGCCCTATTAACATTCATTTTTACTTTCCTTCTAGCTGAAAGACCCAAGTACACGTTTGATTTCTCAGAAGAGGAGGACGATGATGCTGATGATGATGACGACAATAATGACCTAGAAGAACTGAAAGTTAAAGCATCTCCCATAACAAACGATGGGGAGGATGAATTTGTTCCTTCAGATGGCTTAGATAAAGACGAGTATTCATTTTCTCCAGGCAAATCAAAAGCTACTCCAGAGTAAGTAATGGAGTCATTGCTGTTCAGCAAGACCTTATAGTGAGCTTCAAGAACTGACATTTTAGCCAAGCTTTCTTTGTGAAGGAGTAGTCTTGATAACATTGCAGCTCTTCCCGTAGCTGCTGCTGGTAGGTGGGTGGGACGATGGGCATGCCTTCCACAAAGGGCTTGAGAAGAAATGTTTTAAACTTCACTGGTCATAGGCTTTGTAGAGTGAGTGAGTGTGGCTCTGTTCCAGCTACATGTTGTGGCATGCTCTGGGAGTGTTTGGACAACTCCAGGTTTGGGGCACATTTCTAGATCTTAGAATTAGGAAAGTTGTTTTCCCTAGATTTGGCCTCGGTTCACTTTTACTACTTTTGGTAAGTGCCAGTGTTAGCATGGGGGTTTGAGCTTTGAAGTATTTAGGTTTTCTTAAAAGAAGTTTTAGCTTGTTATAACTGGCCTTGACTGGCTTTTGAAATATCTGTCTACCTGTCTGAGGTCAGGAGTGGTATTGCTACCTGCTGTGACGGGAAGTCCATTTCTTCCCGTGGAGCTTTGCCAAGTTGAGTTTAGTAACTTTGAGTAACTTTGAACCATTGTCCAGTTTCTATTCTTATTTTGTGGTAAGTCACTGTTGTATTTCATGTCTGTGTTCCCCTATGTGCTTAGGTTTGTTGGGGAAGTATGGGGGTGGGGTGGGGTTTCTCTGTCTTTAAAGAGAAAGAAAAGAAATGTGAAAGCTCATAAATAGAATTCATTTGAGTTGAAACTAGATTTCTAAATTATATCCTCTTTGTGGTATTTTCTTCCTAATAGAAAATCTTCACATGATAAAAAAAGTCAGGATTTTGGGACTCTCTTCTCATTTCCTTCGTATTCGCAGAAGTCGGAAGACGGTATGTGCTGCTGGTCTTCTCATTAGCAAGTTGTTCTAGTCCTGCTCTGCTGTTGAGAAATGAGGAAACCATTAGCTCAGGACTTAGCTGCAGAAGTTTTTTTTTTTTTTTTTTTCTAAACATTTTGTTCAGTGTGATAAGATTCATTTACTTTTTCTGAGGGATTCTCAGCTGATCGGTCAGATAGGCCCTGTAGCAGACAGGCGGATGCTGGCCTCCAGGTAGCATGTAGACCTGTGACACTTTCAGAATGAGCAATGTAAAAAAAAAATTGAACCATCAATATTTGATTTTAATAGTGATGTGAATGTGTATTTAAAGTTATAAAGGTACCAATATAGGTGCAAATTTGTTTTACTAAATCCTTGCAGCTGAGAGAATAAAATTTTCATAGGAGCAAATTTAATCAGGGTATGTCTCTTAGTGTATGTGGAATTTTTTAGGTCACTTAACTCATTGTCTTGTATTTTTAAGTGCATGTGGGTGTGTGAGTGCATGTGTGCCTGTAGAGGCCCAAGGTTGATTTTGGGTGTCTTTCCAGACAGCTCCCCACCTTACATATTGACACACGGTGTCTTTCTGAGCCTGGAGGTTGCCATTTCAGCTAGTGTGGGTAGTCAGCCTGTTGGGGAGGGAGATTTCCTGCCTCCGCCTCCCGAGGACTGGGATTGCTGGCAGGTCACCAACCCTACCTGGCTTTCATTTGGGTCACCCTGCACAGCAAGAGCTGTACTAGTTAAGCCACGTCCCAAGTTCCACTTACATTTTTAAATACATACAGATGGACAAACTTAGATTTGGTACATTTTCTGTGAGTATAAATGAATATTCATTGTTGACACAGCATGTCAAAATAGTTACATAAAAATAGTTACTTAGACCCAAGAGGGCATTTAAAATTTTCCTGTTGTAGTTTGAGGGAGAAAATTGATTGGCAAATTAAGCTAATTAGCTGACCAAAATAAACTGTAGCAAGGCATGGTGGCACAGCCTGTGATCCTAGCATTAGGGAGACCGAGGCAGGAAGCTTGTAAGTTCAAAACCTGTCTGGGCTACCATTGCAAGACCCTGTCTCCTCCCTCAAAGTAAACTGAAGGTAAGCTTGCATGCCTTTAAAGTTTATCTTCAATGATTTGCTGATTTAAAGATATGAGGGCTTGCTACTCTTTTAGATTTGGACATTAGTACTAATGTTCTTGAATGATTACTAGTGCTTGTGTAGGTACTAAAATAACCACACAGGAGAGTGTTCATCCGAAATGTGCCTAGTGTACACTTTTGAACTGGTTGGCTGTATTTTGAATGATTAACTTTCGAACTGTTTTCAGGACTGTATGCATTTGTATATCGTTTCTCAACAGAGTTCACATTTTTGAGGCATAAATTAGTACATTTTCTATTTTCAGCTGTTTGTACATGTGGATTATGTAGCAAAATAGAAACTTGAAGGTCAATTTAGTAGCTAAAGGGAAGTCATCAGATCAGTCAGAGGTCCATTTTGATAAAGTCTTTTACTAAATAAAGCTCTGAAATTTTTAGATTCAGCTAAATTTGACAGTAATGAAGAAGATGCTGCTTCTGTGTTTGTACCATCATTTGGTCTGAAACAAACAGACAAAGTTCCAAGTACGACAGCAGCTGCTAAAAAGGGTATGTGCTCACATCTGCTTGTCTGTAAGTCGTGAGAGGGGACGTACAGGGAGGTAAAGAGGGAGTGTGCTCACATCTGACTCCGAACTCATGAGAGATGACTAGTGGAAAGGGAAGTTCATATAATTGGAACTGTCTGAGTACTTCACCATGAAATGTACAGTAACAGTGTAAGGGAATCTCTTTAATAATGTAAAGAAATTGCTAAAAATAGCTATCAGACCACATTAGAAAAATACAACCCTTCCTCTGCTTTCAAGTGTTCATTTTAAGTTTAGATTCTGCATGTGAGAGAAAACGTGCTAAGACCCATTTATAACTGTTGTGATGATACAGTAATTCTGCATTGCTCTTTCAGATGGTTTTTCTGGTGCTCTGCAGGCCCTACCTCTTACTTAGGAGCTACTGGCAGTTGGTAGCAGTGGGGGGAGGGGCAGTCATTCTTCTTTGAGGGTGTGGCCACTGGTAGGTGCCCGTGCTCCAGTGGACGGCCTCATGCCCTGCTCATATGGCAGCACTGAATGAGCTTGGTTCCAAAAGGAAAAGTCATGAAGTTGGGAGGGAGGAGGACATGCTGCGGTGAAAGTTAGGGGACTTGGAGAAGGAAGTGGGGGATTGGTATTGTATTTCATCATATATATGCATGAAATTCTCAGTAATAAAGACAACACAATGAAGAAATAATTTTTATGTAAAGCTCTTGTTAGGTTGGACGGAGAAAGAAAATTTTGTCTTGGTTCTGTAGTCTGTAGTCCTGCCTCCCTCCTTACAGGGAGGGTTGGTCAGTGCAGTTAGCGTCTTTGCTTTGTGAATCGCAGCTTCTTTCTTTTCTGTAGCCTTAGGTTGTTTATGAAGTACTGAGTTGATTTATTAATCAGTCACATAACAGGTAAATCATGTGTCTTGGCTTTTTTTTTAAATGAAATCAATATTAGTGCTTTTTGTTTGAAAAATATTTATTTTAAAATATACATCTAGTTGATATATATGCAAGATAGCAGTTAAATAAACCATATGAACTGTTCCCTAAAAAAAAAATCCAAAAACCAAAATCCCTATAGCATAATGTCACCACTGGAGACACGTGTACTGAGCGTAGCCACATGACAAGACCCATAATCATGCAAACCCCTGCCTAGTCGTATGTACTTGAACTGCAGAGACCAGCCATCACCTTAGACGGCCGCCCAGCACATGCTCCTCTCACCTCTTCAGCACGTGCTGCCCAAGGACTTGGACTTGACAGTTGTATTGGAATAGGAAATCTTCTGTCCTCTGGCGGCCTTCAGGCAGTGACTGAAGAAAGCTGGGCCATAGGGTTGCTCAGAGTCCTTACCTTTCAGTTTCTGACTCTGGGTGTGTTTTATACTGTTCTTCAAATTTCCCCACAGGGATTAATTCTCTCCAAGAGCAGCATGTGGTTTGGTAACTTGCCCCTGAGTCGCTGCCTGCTCTCCATTGTATCACTTTACACTTCTTGCTGTTGCCTCCCCAGGTGAATGTGCTTGAACATATCATGGGATCAGGCAGCTTCTGCTTCTGGGAACCTCACACTGAGAGAGGCCCCTTAAAATAATTTTGTTACTTTTATTTTATGTGTATGAGTGTACTGCCTGCATGTGTGTAAATGCACTTGTGTTGTGCAATGCCCATGGAGGTCAGAAGAGGGTGTTGGATCCCCTGGAACTGGAGTTACAGATGGTTGTTAGCTACCATGTGGGCGCTGAGGATTGAATCTGGATCCTCTGCAAGAGCATCCAGTGCTTCTTAATTTCTGAGCCAGCTCTCCAGCCCCAAGGCAGGTCCTTTTAAAACATCCTTTTGGGGGCTGGAGAGATGGCTCAGTGGTTAAGAGCACTTGCTGCTCTTGCAGAGGACTCGGGTTTTATTCCCACCACTCACATCAGGTGGCTCACAACCACCTGTACCAATTGTTCCAGGGGATCCAACATCCCCTCTGTCCTCTGTGGGCACTGCATGCACATGGTGTACATCGGACAAGTAGGCACAGATGCATTAAGAAATCTTTAAAAAAGTCTTCATATGAGCATCTTATACTGTAGGAGCCATATCACTTGAAACATAGCATCCTGTTCTCTTCATTAAGACAGCAACTTGGAGTTTAACATTAAAGACCAGACGACTACCCACCCAGCCTTTTGTCTCTCCACTAGGGGAATGGGCCTGTGTTAACTAGGAAACGATTTCAGGGACCTCAGGAAGCTCTTCTTTCTCTACGTTCCTCCTGAGATAGAACTTATAGATAATAATCCAAGGAGAGGACACAGCATGTCCCTCCGTAGACCTGCCTATGCTAACTCAAGTTACATTATGATACAAGTCACGTTCTGTAGTTCCAGTAGTTGGCAGCACAAAGGCACCCGCGGTACTGATGCGTGACATGTACTTGGTGGGGGTGTTGGGTGTCCTTTAACTGCCAGCTGGGAAATGCTGTGAGAGAACGATCCTCCCTATCACCCTGTACTCCTGCTGGTAGCTGCTTTGGGGCTTCTATGATGGATGTAGTCATGAGGACTCAGGGAATAAAGCCACAGAGTCCTTGGTCACACCCATCACGAGTGCCTCCTCTGCTGGCCAGTGAGGGAGTTACATGTACCATGTCAAAATGAGGCTTGATAGGTCTTCCGTAGAATTGGTACTGCTTTTTAAGTAAAACAATTTTTATTAATTTTATTTTATGCGTATGAGGGTTTTGTCTACATGTAAGTGCATCATGTGTGTGCAATGCCTGCAGAGGCCAGGAGAGGGTGTGGGATCCTCTGGAACTGGAGTTAGTGGTCGGCATTATGGATGCGGAACTGAACTTGATCTTCTGCAAGAGCAGCAAGTATTGTAGCTGCTGAGCCATTGCACCAGCCCTGCTTTTCAGTTTTTTAATTTTTTTTTATTATTTTATTATTTTTATTTTATGTGTATGAGTGTATTGCCTACATGTATGTGAGTGCATCCATATCATGCAATGCCTTGGAGGTCAGAAGAGGCCAACGGATTCCCCTGGAACTGGAGTTAAGGACGGTTTGTAGCCACCATATGGGTGCTGGGAATCGAACCTGGGTCCTCTGCAAGAGCAGTCAGAGTTCTTAACCTCTGAGCCATCTCTCCAGCCCCACTTTTTAGTTGTTAACAGGAAGGTTTGCAGTCCATTTGGATCCATTCAGTACATCTGTTTTCCAAATTTTTTTTTCTTTGATTTTTTTTTTTTAAATGGGGCTTTTGGATACTCTAACATTCCCCCCTCTGAAGAGGTAACCCTAAAATCTTTTAAGGATTAGATACAAGCTCCCAAATACTTTTGACATTTTTGGCCTTTGGAACAGAGTATGTTGCTAACAAGCCCAAGGACATTTTGACTTTTAGCCAAGAAACTGGCTAC